CAGTCCTGAAATCCCACGTTATAATTTTATAAGACTTTTCTTAACGCGGGTGGGTCTTGCTAGTCACACTCGCCACCGCCATGGGCTGTGCGTCCCAAGTCTCATCATTGCAAGTTATAACACTATCTTCTGGATAGATGGAAAGACGCCAACATGATCGTAGCTAGTAGGGCTGTACCGAATAGTGATTTTCACTATTCGGCCGAATACGAATAGTGGGACCAACTATTCGGCCGAATACGAATACGAATAGTGTATCATCATCATCAGGTGCCTTGCCGACTGGTTTTGGCGATTTTGCCTCCCCACAATCTGCGATCTCCTGCAGCATGTATCAGTTCGTGTGCTGAGACACCTTTATGACATGCAACAAGACTGTCAAGAATCTTCTCTCGTTGTCTTTTTCTATTTCTCCTTCCATAAATATTTCCTGTGGTCACCACATGTTCCATTTTCCCTCTTCTTTTAAGATGGACGAAAAATGAAGACTGTCTCCTTCTGTCTGTGATTAGTTGTCTTCGGGATCCCGTCTCTTTCAAAACCTAGTGGTTGCTTTTTTTTAGTCTGTCCAGGGTATTTTAAGCATTGTTCTGTAAAACCACATCTCTGAGGCCTCAAGAAATTATTTGGCTTGGCTACCGATTGTCCAGGACTCATAGCCATATGTTAAAACTGGATGTATGTAGCAAGCAAGACAAAGATATATTGCATAAGATGTTCTTTTTTTTTTTTTTAAATGCAGTTTTTGCCTGTCCTATTTTGTTTTTTTTTTAAATTTTAGTAATGCATCTTTCATCTGATTTTATCCATGTGCCAAATTCGCATTTAAATCATCATTCGTTTAGGCGTTCGTTCGATGTAATTTAAATGCACCTTTATATTCTCGTTCGCAATATCTTCAATTTGATTTGGGCAAAGACACCCCGAAAGAACGAAAAAATGCATGCTCTCTCTCTCTCTCTCTCTCTCTCTCTCTCTCTCTCTCTCTCTCTCTCTCTCTCTCTCTCTCTCTCTCTCTCTCTCTCTCTCTCTCTCTCTCACACACACATACACACACACAGATACACTTTCAAGTTTCTTCATGCCTTCTTTAACACAACAGTAGCGTTGCCTAAATCTGTGGTAGCGGGGAAAACTGCGACCCAGTTGCGTGGTAACAGCGCCTGCTGACTCCTCCGAGGCATTACAGCAGAGGTTCTAAAACTGGGTGCGTGTGCCAGGGGTGCCGCGGCGAAAATCGAGAAAAGTCGGCCATAAATTGTGACATTATTAATGAGAGAGTTATTTCAGTCCATCGCAGTGTATGCAGAAATCACTATTCGTATTCGGCCCGACCGCCACTATTCGGCCGAATACCGAATAGCTATTAGTTCCACTATTCGGCCCCGAAGCGAATACGAAGCGAATATTCGGTACAGCCCTAGTAGCTAGTTTATCGTTCAAGGTATTCCGGGCTGATGTTAAACAGTTTCAACCACATCAAAATATTTTTCTTTTTTAATGTCCCCAGAATAATCCAGATAGTTCAAGCGGATTTTAAACTATATTGCGACAAACTGCTGTTCTTGCCTTTCTCGTCACTTTTCAGCTATAATATCGAAATAGGAGATGGAACTTCTGTTTTGCCGACATATCATATTTCTCTACCGTTTGTATTGTTTCTTCAAACATTTTAATTTAATCAGTCACAAACAATAGTTACCGCCCACATCAGGGGTCACTGAACAGTTTATTATTATTTTTAATTCCTTCTGCAGATCTAAGCGTTACTCCAGTCACCCCATCTTTAAACTGCCCTGCTCACACCAAAATAATGCTGGTAGAATAACACACATTAAAACTGAATTTCATTACTGGCTAGACAATGATATAAAAATACTGAACTACTGTCGCCACGAAATAAACTCTAAATTACGCTAGGAAAAAAACATTAAATTCCCTCAGTACATTTCAGGCATTAAAAGTATTTAAAACTATTGAAATATAATAAGGTATACGGATATAATTATATGTTAACTTTCTATTGCCGAAATTATATCTAGATGAATATTAAAATGGATAATTGCCATTTATTTGAAAAACCGACGGGACAAGTCGGATCAAGCCTCAAAACGGAACTGTTCGGGTGAAAACAGGTGTAGCAAGTGGCCCGCGGGATATATCCTGCTCGCACAGGTCTAGCAAGTGACCTACGGATCATTGCCAGTTGTATTATTGATAATTTTATGCTGAGGTTTGGGCCTCCTGCCCGTGATGATCCTAGTTTTCAACATTTGGACCAGTGGGTATATTTAGTTGACTAGCCGTGCCCTATCTACTTCATCACCACCCGCCACATTTGTCTATAAGCTGCGTTGGGAGCAACAGTTTGTGGTCTGACACTCGACGGCTGGCCTTGGCAGTTGTCATTCCATGTGCACGTAGAATGTCCTTAATGTCATCAGTTCATTTTTTCTTTGGATGTCCTCTTGCTGTCATGTCAGACCTTTTCAGGTGTCATCATCATGTGCCCTGCCAACTGGCGTAGGCGCTTATGGGTCTTCACAGATCACGATCCCTGGTTGCCTGGAACAGCTCTCTTGATGTTATCCCTCCATGCCATTATATGTTCTGATTATTAATATATTTTATGCAAGATGTTGCTTCTTTAGTATGTCTGATGGTGTCATTTCTCCCTTGGTCTTAGTTGGTTAGGTTGGCCATCTCCTCAGTCGTCTTCTCTCACATGTGTTAAATTTACACATGTGAGCTATCGATGATCTCCAAGTGGGGCACTGTTCGCAGAACACTGAAGCTTCTATGATCTCTAAGTGTGGCACTGGTCGCAGAACACTGAAGCTTCTATGATCTCTAAGTGTGGCACTGTTCGCAGAACACTGAAGCTTCTATGATCTCTAAGTGTGGCACTGGTCGCAGAACACTGAAGCTTCTATGATCTCTAAGTGCGGCACTGGTCGCAGAACACTGAAGCTTCTATGATCTCTAAGTGTGGCACTGGTCGCAGAACACTGAAGCTTCTATGATCTCTAAGTGCGGCACTGGTCGCAGAATACTGAAGCTTCTATGATCTCCAAGTGGGGCACTGGTCACAGAACACTGAAGCTTCTATGATCTCCAAGTGGGGCACTGCTCGCAGAACACTGAAGCTTTTGATGATCTCTAAGTGCGGCACTGGTCGCAGAACACTGAAGCTTCTATGATCTCTAAGTGCGGCACTGGTCGCAGAATACTGAAGCTTCTATGATCTCCAAGTGGGGCACTGGTCACAGAACACTGAAGCTTCTATGATCTCCAAGTGGGGCACTGCTCGCAGAACACTGAAGCTTTTGATGATCTCTAAGTGCGGCACTGGTCGCAGAACACTGAAGCTTCTATGATCTCCAAGTGGGGCACTGGTCGCAGAACACTGAAGCTTTTGATGATCTCCAAGTGGGGGCACTGGTCGCAGAACACTGAAGCTTCTATGATCTCCAAGTGGGGGCACTGGTCACAGAACACTGAAGCTTCTATGATCTCCAAGTGGGGCACTGCTCGCAGAACACTGAAGCTTTCGATGATCTCTAAGTGCGGCACTGGTCGCAGAACACTGAAGCTTCTATGATCTCCAAGTGGGGCACTGGTCGCAGAACACTGAAGCTTTTGATGATCTCCAAGTGGGGCACTGGTCGCAGAACACTGAAGCTTCTATGATCTCCAAGTGGGGCACTGGTCACAGAACACTGAAGCTTCTATGATCTCCAAGTGGGGCACTGCTCGCAGAACACTGAAGCTTTCGATGATCTCTAAGTGCGGCACTGGTCGCAGAACACTGAAGCTTCTATGATCTCCAAGTGGGGCACTGGTCGCAGAACACTGAAGCTTTCGATGATCTCTAAGTGCGGCACTGGTCGCAGAACACTGAAGCTTCTATGATCTCCAAGTGGTGCACTGGTCACAGAACACTGAAGCTTTTATGATCTCCAAGTGCGGCACTGGTCGCAGAACACTAAAGCTTTTATGATCTCCAAGTGGGGCACTGGTCGCAGAACACTAAAACTTCTATGATCTGTCCACTTTGAAATAGGAAGTCACTGTTGCGTTGGCGGCTCGACAAAAAAAAAAAAAAAAGAACAACAACAACAACAACAACAACAACAACAACTTGGATCCGACATTAGGACGCCTTGAGTTACAAGTTTAGCAGGTTTCATTTAATACGAGATGGGTCTGACGGATGTCATTTACTTGGGGCTTCATCAAGTGTTAACCTGGCCTTGCTTGAGACCTTGCTTTTAAAGTATTAGGGGTCACCTGAAAGCTGTACCTCAAGATTTTACACTTAAACAAATGTTAACAACGGTATTCTCATTTGCTTTTTCGTTACAACTCACGAACTTGGGCCCAGAAAGAGCAATTCATCCCTGGTCGTATCGTAGGGCATTTGCAGTTTTGCGGGGGTGTCACGCTTACGGAGCATCAAGCAACATAACGATTTTTAGTGTTGTTACCCGCCCGCTATATCGTGTGGTCTTTGTTTCATGATGTGGGTGCTTTTAACGGTCGCAAAACACGTAGAACTGGCCCTAACCTAAACCCCCCTACACCATAGCCACAGCCTACATCCTACGAGAGGGTGCAGCCTACGTCCCACGACTGCATGCAACCTATGAAAACAATGCGTAAAATACTTTGTGTTGCTGGACGCTCACTAAGCGTGGCCCCCCAACAACATATGACAAACCCTACGACACAACCAGAGTTTAATGGCAAGGTAAGTCACTCTCTTTCTGGGACAAAAATATTAAGGACTTTTGTCAAGCCATTAGCACAATGCGGCATAAAATACTACACCCATATTTGTTTTAAAACAATGTATCCAATCTATATTTATTTCCTTCTTTTCAGTTTATCTTAACCCCCCCCCCCCCCCCAACACGTTTTTGTCCGATAACTCCCGTACTGTAATCATTTATTGCATTAATGTTCCCAGGGATTCTACAGCCGCAGCCGTCACCTTGCGCATGAGACTGTTGCACGCTCTATGTCTCTTGAACTGCGTCGTTGGTAGCCTAGCAACCTGTTCAATGGAAGACGACACCTGCGAGTTCTGGTTGGTAATTGAACACCGTTTGACGATGATGGATTACAAGACAGCGGTATATCCGGCTAAAGGGCTTCTGTACAAGTGCGATGTCCTGAACACATCCCAGGCACAACCTGTTGATCCCAGTGGGGTCATCACAGCCGACGGATGGGAGAGCTCACGACTGGTGATTACAGCCAATGGAACAATGCCTGGGCCGTCCATCGAGGTATGAGCTGGTTTTTTTTGGGGGGATGGGGGTGGGGGGGGGGGGGGGTGGGTGGTCGTGGGTGGTGGGGGGGGGGGCTGGGAGGCGGATAGGAAGTTGGGGGCGGCAGTGTGCAACGGTAGCGAGTACTGGCACCTTTTACTATGTATCATTCCCCCTCCCCCAACCCTACTTTAATAGCCACTGTAGTGATTATCGGCACTGATTTTTTTCTGGGTGAAAAAGCCCTGGATATTAGATGGTGTTGGTGTTGAATTTAGGGATGACTGCAGTCGAAATAGCAGTCTCTTTAGTACCACATTTAGCACAGGAATAGAGGTGGAGGCGGTAACTGCGACTTTCTGGTGGGTGGAAAAAATCTCCCTCCTACATGTTGTCGTTAACCAGATGAAAACAAGTCCCTGGTAATGAAAGACAAAATGTGCTTGTTGTGTTGACATACATATTCTCAGAGAAATGTCATGACTGTGTGGCCTAAAAGACAAAATACGAAAGCTTTCACACCGTAACACATAAGCTGGTGATAAAAAGGACATAATTAATATACACAAATGGTTGAAAGGCACGACAGAACAAACATATACACCTATTGTGTTAGAAAGGAATATGATGTATAAGGTAAAAAGGGAGAGACTGTCTCAATCCCAGCTGCAAAAAAGGGGGAGGGGGTGGGAGGTGGGGTGGGGAACTGAAAATACGGCTTAACTATTTCAACACAAGGCTTGTGTTTCTTCAACGCTAAAACCAAGACTGTACCCTTAGCGGCAACAGTCTTTGGTGACTAATGAGTTAAAATAATACCACTGTAAGACAGAGGAAGTTAAAGCAACAATTTGTACAGACTGGCTGAGCGCTGCAGAAAATGTGGCCAGGAGTTCAGAAATATGTAATCATGTATGTCATGCTCAGTAAACATATGATTAGTTGTCTGGTACTGAAAGAGTTCAAAATTCAACTAAAGTAAACGAGAAGACACACACGGAAACGACAAGCATTTCCACCAAAGATTTTGTCAACGAATAAAAACATAACAATCTTACAGCATAGACATAAATAACATGTAATCCAAACTGTGAAAGAAACGGAAACGTCAAAATAGGAGGGCGTTGAGAAACAAAACATAAACAATGGGTGTTAAGGTTTAAATGTTGAATTGCACGTTTCAATTTGATTATCTATCCACTTTTCAGCATAGATAAATTAGAACAATCCTGAATATCGCAGGAAGTGGTTAATTCAGCATGAAACAAGTTCAGGGAAAAGTATTGAAATGAGGGGGGAGGGGTGGGGGGAGGGTTGCTAAGATTCTATGGATAAACACCATAATAAACAAAGACAACTATAATTTACAAAGACGTCAGCAATAAAAGCCATATAGATAATAGGGGAATAGAGCAGAAAATGCCAGGGACCATGCAGTCAGGGAGTGGAAACAAATAAGGGATTATGGTTAAAGGAGTTCCCGAGAGGGCCACAGGGCTCTATTCTGGAGGGGGTAAAACGACGAAACGCACTGTCCCCTATCCAATGTCTTAAAAGTCGACTATTAAGGAATGTCTTCTTAGAATTAAAATTGCATCTGCATGAGAGGCGTTGGAACCAACAGTTTGCATGACGTCGTCCCTGCCGGCATCTGACTCAATTTCTATTTTTTTTAAAGAACAAAGTCCAGAAGTGAACGAACAACCAAAGTTTCCACTGACGATTACATCCCTTGATCGCGAAGAAGAAGAAGAAGAAGAAGAAGAAGAAGAAGAAGAAGAAGAAGAAGAAGAAGAAGAAGAAGAAGAAGAAGAAGAAGAAGAAGAAGAAGAAGAAAAAGAAGAAGAAAAAGAAGAAAGAGAAGGAGGGGGAGAACAAGAAAAACAAGAGCAAGGACAAGAACAAGAGCAAGAACAAGATAAAAAACAATAGCGTGAAAGTCAGCATCCTAAACTCGTGTTTCAAAGAACGATGCGTCTTTGCTGTGTCGTATTCATGAAAACGGAATATTTCCTTCACCTGTGCCGTTTGTTCAGTCATGTTTGTAACACGAGCTCTCATTTCCCACTCTCCCTCTCCAAAGGTGTTCGAAGGACAGACGGTCATCGTGCACGTGAAGAACCTGCTGACCGGAATGACCACCAGTATACATTGGCATGGGCTACACCAGACAGACACTCCCTGGATGGACGGGGTAGCTTTTATCACTCAGGTATGTCTTGTCTGTGCAGTATCCGTGGCTTGGGCGTTGCGAGTCCGACTCGTAATCCCAACGTACCGTGATCGAAACCCACCGCTGGCTGCGTGGATTTTAATCATAGTATGGGGCGTCGCAGGTCAACCCAGCCTAAAATGGGTACCAAGATGTATATCTCAGTGAAGTAAAGATGGCCGGCGTAATGCTGACAACATTATGCCGCACTTAGAGCTGATTGATCTGTAAAAATATTGGTGCTCTTCCCATATGCCCGACGCACCTAAAGGCGTGAAAATAGCCAAAAAAGGCGGCAGTTGGTTCTGCGACCTTCTATTAATGGATAAGCAACCTCCCCGTGTGGGTTCCGGGGCCCCATTGTGGGGAAATCATAAACAGACCCACTGTCTACTCAAAAGCATGTCGTAAGAGTCGACTAAATGGGAGCTTCCTTCGAAGACGGAGTGCATCTGCCTGAGAGGCAAGGAACCAACAATCTGCATACACAATTCAGATGTGTAAAATGTATGTGCACGCAACACTGGGGTTCTTAAACAGGACTGCGTCCAGAAACGGACGAATAACTAGAACTTTCCACTGGAGTTTACAGTCGGTAAAAGCGTAGAAGAAGTAGAAGATAAGTAACTAACTTTTCTTGTCTTGTCAGCCTTGGAGTCAGTGCTTCCCACATTGTATAAACACGGCTACTCTCTACACAATTTAACAAGTAGTCAAGAATGGTAGAATATGAGGTATTTGATTAGGTTTTCTTCCCGGGGACCCATTGGAGGAGATAGAGGGTTGGGGGAGGGGAGACCTATTGTCCTAACAAGCATGTCGTACAAGGGGAGTTTCCTTCGAAGACGAAATGCACCTGCCTGAGAGGCGAGGACAAATCACGTCTGCATGAAAACAAACGAGATCTGTAAAACAAACGTGCATGCAAGTTCTAAAATAAGACTAAAGTCCAGAATGGACGAACAGCCAGAGCTTTCCGCTAGAGTTTACAGCTGGTAAGGTCTAAAAAGAAGAAGATTAGGTTGTCGTCCCTGCCGGTAAGCGGTAATAGCAAGCAGCTCAGGTGGCTCCTGAAGTGCGGAGGGGCCACCGAGAGGGCGGAATGCCAGTTTGTCAACTGGGATATTGTAAATATATTGGGCTTTGGGTGAGATCCACGATAATCTACCCAGCCGAACTAGTTTGCGTTCCATTGATACATTTTTAGACTCGTCTGCTGTCCTGGGTGTTACGGCTATGTTGTCCTTTCTGGCTTGACTTGCATTTACGGTTGTTTTTCTCCGCGAAAAAGAATGCCTGTGACATAGGCTGCAACACTCTCTAGGGGGTTTGTGGGTTAGACCCATATTGTAAATGTTTTTGTAGTGTTAAAAGCTCTGGCGTACTTAAAAATACAACACGCAATTTCAACGCATTGCCGAACATCCCCCCCCCCCCGGAAGGGGAGGGGGGGGGGAGAGGAGATCAGTGCCAGAAGTGTGACTCTTATAGTAAAGAATTTTGAGGGAGACCTGGCGGATTGGCAGATGCTCAGCCTAGATGTTTTGCTAATGTACTATGGGAGAAGTAATTTTTTTTAACTTGACGGTTGCCCTGTGGTATCTAACGTAGATTTTTTATATTGAAAAAAAAACAATTTAATAAAATCTGTATTTAATTTTTTTTTTTCAGTGTCCTATTCTTCCAGGCCAGACATTTACATACAAATTTAAGGCATACCCAAAAGGCACGTTTTGGTACCATGCTCACGTTGGCTCCCAGATTACCATGGGGTTACTGGGAGCACTCATAATCAGAGAGAAGGTGAAGACGTCTATGGAAGAGTTTATTATGCTCTTGCAGGTAAGACTGGTTCCAGTTAAGTAGCTCAGCGGCTGATCAAGCAGACGTGGTTGTCGTTAAACATTTATTTTTAATTTTTGCTAAAGTTATTGCATGCGTAACTGGGTAGATAAGAAGTAATGAATACAACATACAATGTGACTAGACAACTCAACAGAGGGAACGAAAAAGGTGGAAAATATTCAACGCCGCCATAATTTAGTTTAATTGAAAGTGAATTTAACTTGTGTATAGCGCACCCCCCCCCCTACCTCACTCTCTTTCCACTCCCCCCCCCCCTCCACACTCTCTTTCCACCCTCTCTCTTTCCACTCCCCCCACTCTCTTTTCACTCCCCCACTCTCTTTCCACTACCCCACTCTCTTTCCACTTCCCCCACTCTCTTTCCACTCCCCCTCACTCTCTTTCCATCCACCACTCTCTTTCCACTCCCCCACTCTCTTTCCACCCCCACTCTCTTTCCACCCCCACTCTCTTTCCGCTTCCCCCACTCTCTTTCCGCTTCCCCCACTCTCTTCCCCCACACTCTTTCCACTCCGCCCACTCTCTTTCCACTCCCCCACTCTCTCCCCCACTCTCTTTCCACCCCCACTCTCTTTCCACCCCACTCTCTTTCCACCCCCACTCTCTTTCCACCCCCACTCTCTTTACCACCCCACTCTTTTTCACCCCCACTCTCTTTCCACCCCCCCCCCCCCAATTCACACCCCTTAACTAAAGGCCTTCCTACTGATTTTGTTTCTCAGATCGTCTGTCATGACTGCATTGTTCCCCGACTACTTATTTCTAGGTTTCATGTTGACCTTATTGTTTAGAAACTGTTGTCTTGTCCGTTGAGTTTTCCAGTCCACTTTTGCTTTGCATTAAGTACTCCATGGATAAAGACTTTGGTCGAAACGTTCTGTAGTATTGTAATTTTGCTGTTCGAAACGTTCTGGTGTATTTTTGCAAGTCTTTTTATTTCCCTCCGTTGAGCTTTCTAGTAATAATTAATGTTGTTTCAGCTCTTCTCGTCATTAGCTTGACTACAGTCCCCCTATTTACGTAATTACGAGTGTGTATGCATGTGTGTGTGTGTGTGTGCATATATGTGTATGAATGGGTGTATGTGTATGATATATATGTTTTTGTGTATAAGATTATATGTGTGGGTATATATAAGAGTGTAGTATCGGTATGAGCGGTTGTGTAGTCTGTCTGTCTGTCTGCCTGCCTGCCTGCCTGTCTGCCTGCCTGTGAGGGAGTGACTGAATGTGCAAGTACGCGCGTGTGTGTGTGCGCATGAATTTATCACCCATGCCTCCCCCGTGAGACCACGGCCAGCTCCAAATTTATACAGCCAGTGTTCGCGAAGCAAAGCAAAAGCTAGTTTACAAAAATTAACACAGACCGTACAACTGCAAATATGCAAAAGAAGTCGATGAACTATGTTACGAAACGATCTCAGTGGTTTCACAAGTTAGCACGTGGAATAATTTCTTCTGTTTATTGAGAGACAAAGATATCTATTTACTATGCCCTTAACCCAAATATTAATAAAACCTCAGGGATTTAATTGTTACCAGTCCTTAGTCCAGACAAAGCAAATGAGCCTTGTGAAATATTACCTAACGTTATACCGCAGCTAGAAATTCCTTTTTCATGCCAGTCTCATAATATTATCTTCTGGCCACAGTCTGTCAGGGCTAGCAAACGAGGAACTAATTATCACACCTGGGATTATCTCTCCCGAGCTGAACCTTAGTGTCATAAATGTTACATAACACAGACTGAGTGGGGAGTTTTGAACAAAGCAGATCATGGGAATGAAGTGTACTGGTAGACCTGACGGCGTCCACTGGACAGTTTTCACACATGTCAGTGAAATTCTCAGGAGAACAGTTGTTTGCCAATTAGGAATGTCTAAACATTGGTCAAGGCCGTTCACCTTGAGTGACAGGCCACTTGTTAGCTAATTTGATCTGCAAGGTACTTCTGGGGCGTGGCTTAGATCTTCTCCAGTAGAACCTAGATAGGGGAGGAGTTTAACCTTGCAGACAGATAAGGGTATTAGACTACTAGATCTGGAGTTCACTTCATTTACATCGCAGCCAGCCGGCAACAAACACAGATCGACGTAGAGGTAATTCTAACTGTCTGATTCTGGTTTGGCGATTGATGGAATGTTCCCAGGTTAACTTGTACAATTATTTTTAATCTTCATACATAGGTTAGGGAGCTAGCTAAAGCCTATTCTACCTTCTCCTAATTTGTCTGCACATTCTGCTTGGAATAGTTCTTTGTGAGTATTCAGTATCTCCGTTAGGGAACTGCTAAACCATTTCTTTTTCTTGTATGTTTGTGCCACATGTTTTTCAGTGTATGTTTTTATGTTTATAAAAAAAAAAAGACTTGTATACTGAATTATAATGAAATTATAATGTTTCAACCATCAACCAAAACATACGTTTGGACTGAGGGAAATGACGCCTACATATGTGCAGCCATGCTGTTACGTTTTGTGTGCCCACCATGTGCTCACCTAATGTGTTCACCTAAACAGGGAATTTATAACCCCAGGGGAAGAACAAGGGGTGTATAGATGTCACTGTCACTTAAAGATAATATTCAGGACGGCATGCACGTATAAAATGTTTTGCAGGTTCCGCACATAACCTGCGCCACATGTTTATGTCAAATCAATGTCAGCCAGTTGGAAGTCTGAGTGATGACGGACAACAGACTTAGAAAGTCAACTATCATGACAAAACATGAGAGGGAAGGCAGGATATGTGGCTTCAATGTAAGACATAAGACCTTCAAAATAGACTGCAGAGAATGTGGAATATGAGGAGTGATAAGATTTATTTTATTATTATATATTGTTTTAATTGATACAAGTATTCTTAGTGTAAGTCAAGATACTACACCTATGTGTTTGTTCCTATGATTACAACTGCCATGTGACGATCAGTCCATCATGAGACAACATTGTGTTAGAACTCGGCCAGCTGGGAACGAGGTGGAGAACGAGCTGGGAACTAGGTGGAGAACCAGGAGAACGGGGAGGAAAATGTGGAAAAGCTTGACAGTACCCACGGCTGTCAGAGGTTCTAAAGTTACGTACCATCATGTTTTATGGGTGTAAACTTATCACCACCATTATCACTTTACTCTAATCTGAGGTGCTCAGTTATCAAGCAGAAGCCTCTCATTACCACCATACCATCACTGTCTATTATAATAGTAATGATGACTAATGTCATCCACTGATTGCTAGGTTAATAAATCAAATATATGGTCTTATCCTGCATCAGTTTTTGTAATTCCAAATGTGTCTGTTCGTACATGTTTAATTAAACTGTCAAGATAGAATTACATTTGATGGGTGCTCAAATAATAATTTTTTACCGGGAGAAGGTTGGACGGAGGGGTCATTTGCCCTGTCTAATAATTCATTCAATATAATGATTTAGACATCTAAAACCCCTTTCCTTCTCTTGTGGGTACCAAGTGCAGCTAATGTTAAAGTAATTAACGAGCCAATATGGCTGTTTTCTTGGATATCCAGGACTTTGTCTGAGAGCAATATAGCTCAGATATTAGTCTCGTTAATCTGGTGGAGGGGATGTGTTGAGAGGAAAATCCCTATTCAACATATAAATCATTAAATCCACGGCCGTTACGTAACAAACTACCAGAAGTTTCCGCAAGAGTTTACAGCCAGTGTTCGCGAAGCAAAGCAAAAGTCAGTTTCCAAAAATTAACACAGACCGTACAACTGCAAATATGCAAAAGATTTGATGAACTACCAGAAGTTTCCGCAAAAGTTTACAGCCAGTGTTCGCGAAGCATAAGTCAAATGGTTAAGGATTAATATTATTAGTGTACTGCTACAACATATAATTATACTGCTAGTCAACAATTAATAAAGAGTCAAAGAGTGACTTGCTGTGAGAGGTTAGTAAATTAAATATTATTTTCATCCACTTACCTAGAGCTCCCAAATATCTTGACACAATTTATCAACAGTGTGGTTGCACCATTTATGCACAGTCAATATAAAAGCAATAGTTTTCTTCCAACACAAGATAGTTTTCACGTGACAACTGTCGATATTCTCCAGATATGGCTTCTAAATTACCTGTTTGTACTTTCCCTAAAAGTAAGATTTCTACATTCATAGTAGAAAGAGAATAAACAGCCATTTCCCAATAGTATAAACTACTGACTAGAAACAGTGACACACACATCACAACACGACAGTCTTCCATAAATTAAAATTAAAATTACCTTATATCCACTTCACAATATCCGCTTGTAGATTTGTAATACGCATACGTTTAGAACACACAACTTTATAAGCAAATTAAAATGTCACACAATGCAACATGAAAACGCTTGCTCTAACCTATTTTCGAGGGGACTCCTCCACACTGTACCGTGATTCAGTTGTCAGGACTGTATATATACAGCCGGACGTGGTGAGACTCAACCCCACACAGGATATCCACCAAGCAATAAACACCCGCGGACCCAAAGTACCACAATGCAGTTGAGGATCACCCAGGGACAGGTCCCAGAAACCCCGTTCAACCGTTAGGTTATATTAGGGTCCCCGACTACAGTCGGGATAGGGTTTTAGAATAACGGAAAAGTGTGTCCTGTATCTAGACGACAGGTGATTTCTACCGCTCTAAATGACACAAGTTAATCTAAGAAAACTGTCAAATATAAAAGTTAATAAAAGGGGGAAAATGACGTAAAGTAAACTGATTTGAATTCAATTTAAAAAGGCTACAACAACTGTGGGAGTTGCCTTGGCGAAGCGGTTAGACGCTAGCCTGCGGATCGAAAGGTCGTGGGTTCGCTCCCTGACGGCGACGGACTTTTTTCAGAAAGACCTTGACTCCTAGGTCGCAACCCCTATTGCCCCTAACCCACCACTTTTTGTTTTAAAATGTTGAATATTTGAGTTGCCAAAAGTAGTGAAATCAGTTTTTGGTTCTGGATTTAAAAAGATAGGAGAACCATTCTCCTGCATGCAATAGCAAAGGATAAGACAACTAGGCATGAGTAGCTTGAGAACCTATGCTCTACTGAGTGAAAACACGCAAAATAAGGAAAGGAACCCCATCTTAACGACCAGACTTGCCCGGTTCGCTAGCGTAGTTGGTTAAACCTGACTTCGTGGCGACCGGGGGACATACTCTTTGTGGTCCGGGGGTTGACAAAAAAAAAGCCATATTTCTTCAAGATTTACAGTATTTGTAATGGAATCATGGCTGAAGGGTTGCGATATCCATAGTACCGAGCCAAAGGATTACCAACTCATGGTTTCTGGGTCTCATAATTACATGTCTGCGGACAAAGACGTTAACTGAAACTGTAGCGTCGTTTGGTTTGTAAATTAGCCTTCAATCTCTACGGGTCCTAAAAAGACAATTTTAATTCTTAGGACTGGAATCATGATATGGATGGAGACTTGATGCACCTGAAGATGGTCTACGGTAACTACCAGAACAGGCAAAGAATTCCTCCATCTACTTCGATAGAAGGTGCAAGATTTAGGTAAGCTGATCGTTCGTGGTGGTGTTCGCGCTCGAAAGAATGTGTAAAATGTGTGTGTGTGTGTGTGTGTGTGTGTGTGTGTGTGTGTGCGTGTGCGTGCGTGTGCGTGCTAAGAAATGTGTATAATGTGTGTGTGTGTGTGTTTATCTATCTATCTTCTTTTACCCCAGCACGCCATCACACAAGTGATAAACACCTGATGGCACAATGTGCCACCATGTGGATGAGGATTACCCGTGGAGAGGTCCCAGAAACCGCGTTCAGCCATTAGACCATATTTATGGCCGGGCTACATTGCGGCCCCTGGCAAGAGCCAGAGTATGGCTTCAAAAAACGAAAAATTGCATCCCATAAAAGGAGACGAGATGTGTGTGTGTGTGTGTGTGCGTGCTAAGAAATGTGTATAATGTGTGCGTGTACATGCGTTTGTGTGCGTGTGTGTGCATGTGCGAAGAAATGTGTATAATGTGTCCGTGCGCGCACCGCCGCATGTGTCTGTATATGCGTGCGGTGAGTAAATGCTTGTGTGTACATTATTTAATGTGTGTTTAGATATATATGTGTGTGTATGCGCGTATTCGTGTGTGTGAGGGCTTGTGTGTGCGTTTTTTAAAATTTTAAATACGTTATTAGCTGGAGTTTTAGGAATGGAAATTAATAAGCTCACACCAAACGTAAAGCGTAGTACTGATAGAGATGATGAACATCTTTTTTAAGTATCCAGAAACCACGAGTTGTTAACCCTTTGGCTCGGTACTTTGGACATCGCAACCCTTCGGCTTTAATTCCATGATAGATACCGTAAATCTGGGAGAAATGTGGCTTTTCTGCCTACCACCGGGCGTGAACCCGGACAACAAGGAGTTCGTCACCCGGTCGCCGCGAAGTCATATTTAACCAACTACGCTAGCGAGCCGTACAGATAAGGTCAATTAATGGATTTCAGAAACTCATTATTAATCATATTAGGTGAGGTCTTTCTGTCACTAGTCGGCTCTGTGGCTAAGTCGATGCGAACGCTTCGTAATGCCAGGATGCCGGGTTCGATACCAGCTGCGGGCCATGCGCCTTGCGTTGGTTTCGACAGTGGTATCAAGAAAGCCGACCGTCCAGTAAGCGATGGCAAACTAGTGGACGTAAATTTGCCAAGAAAAACCACACAACAACCAGGGGCTGTTGGGGTTGGCTCTGCAACGTCCTGTAAAGGATACGCAGCTAACCTTTCTGTCACTAGGTTTTTAATACTGAACTTCTGCCACTGTATTGGCCTGTATAAAATGCAGTCGAGACATGAGTACCTAAATGTTGTATGTCGAATCTATTGCGATGTAAAGAAGGAATACTGGAGTCTAACAAAACAAAAATAAAATACGCGGTGTAAATTACACTCAGGCACATCCACATCGTAGATTGTCAGCATCTGTGGCTCTAGCATTGCGAACGCGCTTCGTAATGCCGGGGTACCGGGTTCGATCCCAACTGCGGACGGTTTCGCTTGCGTTAGTTTTGACAGTGGTACCGAGAACTAACCGTTTAGGAGGCAGTGGCAAACTACTGAACGTAAGATTTACCGAAAAAATCTGCAAAACAGCCACAAAATGCTAGGGCTGGTTCGGCAACGTCCTGTAAAGGATACGCGACTAACTAGATTGTCAGAATCGGGAGTAATAGCATGCAGGGCGAAAAAAGATGACATAACATTGACGAGGCTTTTTGAAACATCAGAGCTTGAGGAAACACCGAAGTAGCTGTGCCATTAGTAACCGTATTTACCACTTTAGTGGTGTAAGCAGGGGGTCCTTGAGGGTGTGGGTTTAAGGCTGCATGTCCAGTGCTATCGCCTCGGACTGTGCCGGTTAGGATTTTATGTTTGCTCCTAACAAAACAAATCCCTGATCCGAGTTCAAACCCTGGTCTCTCGCATGAGAGCTCTGGCTTCTTATCCGTTTGGCCAGTTGCTGCTCCCGAATGCGATCAAACTCGGATAATTATAAATTATTATTGGATCAGTGTAAAGAAACAGCTTTCTTGTAAAGCAAGGCACATTTCCATCGTCATTGCTGCATCAATCATTCGGTAGTAGTAGGAGTAGATTTTTACCCCACCAGGACATCACACAAGCGATAAACATCTGATGACACAAAAGTGCCACCATGTAGATGAGGATGACCGTGGAGAGGTAACAGAAACCGCGTTCAGCCATTAGACCATATTTATGGCCGGGCTATATTGCGGCCCCTGGCAAGAGACAGGGTGGGGCTTCAAATAACGAAAAATTGCATCTCACAAGGAGATGACTGAATAAGCTTAAATCATTAGGTGTTAGACACCGTGTTTTATACATTACACAATCATTCGGTGCTAGACTCCGCGTTTTATACATTACACAATCATTCGGTGCTAGACTCCGTGTTTTATACACTACACAAGCATTCGGTGCTAGACTCCGTGTTTTATACACTACACAAGCATTCGGTGCTAGACTCTTTGTTTTATACACTAAACAATCATTAGGTGCCAGACTTCGTGTTTTATACACTACACAATCATTAGGTGCCAGACTTCGTGTTTTATACACTACACAATCATTAGGTGCCAGACTCCGTGTTTTATACACTAAACAATCATTAGGTGCTAGACTCCGTGTTTTATAAACTAAACAATCATTAGGTGCTAGACGACCTTTTGTTTTATACACTAAACAATCAATAGGTGCTAGACTTCGTGTTTTATACACTACACAATTATTCGGTGCCAGACTTCGTGTTTTATACACTACACAATTATTCGGTGCCAGACTTCGTGTTTTATACACTACACAATCATTAGGTGCCAGACTTCGTGTTTTATACACTACACAATCATTAGGTGCTAGACTCCGTGTTTTATACACTACACAATTATTCGGTGTCAGACTTCGTGTTTTATACACTACACAATCATTAGGTGCCAGACTTCGTGTTTTATACACTACACAATCATTAGGTGCCAGACTCCGTGTTTTATACACTACACAATTATTCGGTGCCAGACTCCGTGTTTTATACACTACATAATCATTAGGTGCCAGTCTTCGTGTTTTATACACTACACAATCATTAGGTGATAGACTCCGTGTTTTATACACTACACACTCATTCGGCGCTAGACTCCGTGTTTTTTACACTACACAATTATTCGGTGCCAGACTTCGTGTTTTATACACTACACAATTATTCAGTGCCAGACTTCGTGTTTTATACACTACACAATCATTCGGTGCCAGACTTCGTGTTTTATACACTACACAATTATTCGGTGCCAGACTTCGTGTTTTATACACTACACAATTATTCGGTGCCAGACTTCGTGTTTTATACCCTACACACTCATTCGGCGCTAGTATGTATGTATGTATGTATGTATGTATGTATGTATGTATGTATGTATGTATGTATGTATGTATGTATGTATGTATGTATGTATGTATGTATGTATGTATGTATGTATGTATGTATGTATGTATGTATGTATGTATGTATGTATGTATGTATGTGTGTGTGTGTGTGTGTATGTATGTATGTATGTATGTATGTATGTATGTATGTATGTATGTATGTATGTATGTATGTATGAATGTATGTATGTATGTATGTATGTATGTATGTATGTATGTATGTATGTATGTATGTATGTATGTATGTATGTATGTATGTATGTATGTATGTATGTATGTATGTATGTATGTATGTATGTATGTATGTATGTATGTATGTATGTATGTATGTATGTATGTGTGTATGTGTGTATGTGTGTGTGTGTGTGTGTATGTGTGTATGTGTGTGTGTGTGTGTGTGTATGAATGTATGTAATAATGTATGTATGTATGTATGTATATGTTTATATGTCTTATGTGTGTACGTATGTATGTGGGTGTGTATGTATGTATGCGGGTGTGTATGTAAGTGAGTGGGTAGTGGTGTGTATATGGGGGCTGTGTATGCTGGGTTGTATATATAGGTGTGTGTGTGTGTGTGTGTGTGTGTGTGTGTGTGTGTGTGCATGCTTTTGTGTTTTTTTCATGTTCTTTATTAAATGCATATTATTATTTAAACATAACATGTTTTATTGATAATATACAACCAGTGTTGCCACTTTGGATGTTTAACATCCAGATTTAGATATTTTTTTGCATTTAGATGGCGTTTTTGAGATTTAGATGATAGATGTTTTTCTAGATGTTTTTCATTTGTAGTGTATTTATCAAATCTTTCCTAAGAAACAGGGTGAAATTTGACCTCTTAAATGCTATCTTCACAATAACATTCGGCCTGATAGGAGTAGGAAAAGGCTGTTCCACCTATCAGCTCCCTGATTTAGTATTAAAATAAATTGGAACAGCTAAAGCATACCAGAGTCATTTTGGATCTGAAGCTTCAACTTCATCATCCAAGCTAAGTTTATCCTGTGGATCTTGTAAGGCAGACTTCAATAAAGATGAGGACATGATTCTATAGGGTAAGTCATATCAATTGCTATGTAATTTGTGACTCTTTCAATTTGGATGTTTTTTCTAGATGTTTTCCACGCAATTTTAGATGTTTTAAGATATTTTTTGACTCCGTTTTGGATGTTTTTTGTCAAAGAAAAGTGGCGACACTGTATACAACTACCTTGTGAAAGATGAGTGTTTGGAAGGCCTGAATTTAAGACGGAGTCTCTTTAGCTGGCGGGTCAGTTCTCTCTCCGTGTTGTCTCGTGAATCCCTCTGAGTTGCCTGGAGGACTGACATGCAGTCACAATGGAAAACAATTTTGCTGTTTTAAATTTGTCTTTCCTCAAGTACTTTGGCTGAATCAATAATTGCTTCTTGCTCTGCTCTGAAGTTTGTTGAGTCTTCCAGAGGCGCATGACGTTTCTACTGTGGTCCCATCTTGCAGCATGATGACCGATCTAGCTCCTGTTTTTTTTTTTCTGCTCCCTCCAATGATCCATCGGTGTATACGTGTGTCCATTCGGGTTTTGGGTAACAGCGGTAGACGTGTTCAAGGGTCTTTGCTTGCAGTACTAGGTCACATTCTTCAGCCTTTCTGTCTAAGCATGGAATTGTTGTGGTGAATGTATAGTTAGTCTGTAGGTCTAGGATGTATGCCTGGATCATTTCCTATGTTGAAGGATCTTTATAAAGATGTCACTGTTTTTTTGTGTAGAACAATTTTGATAGCTGGTGATAGCTATATCTTTTCAGTTGGTTTTTAGTTAACTTATTTGCTATTCTGTGCATGGGGTTGTTGTTCATACGTTTACATTTTTCTTTTAGGGTAAGCACATTTTCTTCCCTTCGAAAGCTCATGCTCTGGAGGCCAGAAGTTGCCTCCAGCTAATGGATTGGTGTGCTTCTCATATCTCCGGTGATGATTCTGAGACCAGTGTTCTGTATTTTGTCCAGTTTATTTATGTTTTATTTGGCTGCAGTGAAGTATTCTCCCATGTCATACTCCAGTTTTGGTCGTACGTATCCTGTGTATACTTGTCGTACAGTGTTGAAATCTGCACCCCAGCTTCTTCCAGTAAGGTTCTTTATAAGTCTGAGCCTCAGAGTAGCTTTTCTTTGGGCGTCTTCAATATTGGGCCCCATGTTAGCATTTTGTCGAATTTTACTCCCAAATATGTGGGGTTATCTTTTTTGGAAGGATGTTGTCTTCTAGGTACAGATCAACTTGTTATGGCTTTTTGGAAAGAGAGAAGAGAGACGGTTTTGGTCTGGTTTATTGTGACTCCCCAAGAGTCTGTCCATTTACTATCTGTATTATAGCTTCCTGCATTTTTTTAAAAGTTGTTTCTGTATGTTCAGCTTGGGTCCATTTGGCCAGTTTCTCTGCATGTAGGTCCTTGTGAATGTGAGTCGTGAACTGTTGTAAGGGGGGGGGGGGGGGGGGGGGGGGGGGGGGGGGGGGGTTAATTGATGAATATAATAAACAGGGTAGGAGATATAACACCTCCCTGGTGAACACCTTTTTGTAACCTGACCAGCTTGCAAATTCGAACCCACACTTTCACTCAGCCATCTTGCAACTTATTTTCCCTGTAAAGAATTATCGAGTGCGGGTGCTAAGGTCCTAACTCCTATACATGGCGCCCCCTTCCTTTCTGCTTCCGGTGCCTATGCACTAACCGTTGTAATATCTGTGCGCATGGAACACAGAAACTAGCGTGCAGACTTGTCGAATCATAGACAGGGCTCCCAAAACCCAGATCTGGGTTTTTATTTGACGCCTTAGGGAAATCTAGTTTAAAAAAAAAATATATATATCCTTATATAAAAGAGGTAAATGTTTTGTTTCGTAACTATACATTTTGTACATTTTAACAATCTGGGTTTTGTTTGGTTTTTTTGTTCTTTGTCTATGTATTGCTTGGGTTTTTGTTTAGCGAAGCTGGGTTTAAAAAAAAAAATCCCATTGGCAGCCCTGGACAGAGACACAGCACAATAGTCGACTCAGAAAGGTGAGCAAGAGATCAGAAGGTGGTGGGGTAAAAAAGCTAGCTTTAAGCTAACTGCGATGCAAACCTCTGGAAAATGCAAGTCTATTTATTGAAGAAAACTCACATTTGTGTTTGTCCCCAGCATGTTCCCTTTTCAGTCCGGATTGGTTAATGGCAAAGGCAGGGTGTACTATCCCAACGGAAGTCACAACGAGGCTCCACTGACTGTCTACACAGTCAAGTCAATGACATCCTACAGGTAAAGAGACATGATTGAGCACTTTCTTGTTTGAAACAGTTGTTTGATGTTTGTGTATATCTGTGTGTATGTATGTGTGTGTATGTATAAAAGGTAGTAGCAAACGACTGAAAATAAATTTGCCTAGAAAGACCACAACAGCGACCAAATGCGGGCTTGGTTCTACAACGTTCTGTGAAGGACACGTAACTATTATATATATATATATATATATATATATATATATATATATATATATATATATATGCACACAAGGAAGGGAACATACACACACTAACACACACACATATATATATGTACACAAGGAAGGGAACATACACACACTAACACACACACACATATATAAATGCACTCAAGGAACTAAACACACACACACACTAACACACACTAACACACACACACACACACACATATATATATATATATATATATATATATATATGCACACAAGGAAGGAACATACGCACACTCACACACACAAACACACACACACATATATATATATATATGTTAAAGGATGTATAAGAGGACAATAGGTTCTCCTGTGTGGAGAGTGTAGTAATGAGTCTACACCCCAAACGATCAGGTAATAGTCAGTGGAGGTCTTATGAAGGAGAGAGTAGATATATAGTAAAGTGGTGGTGGTATAAAGACTACAGAGACTAACAATAATAGTACCACTCCCATACTCAACAAACTAACGATGGAATAAAAGAATAACAACTAGCAATCATGTTTATTAAGAAACAGCATTACAAAGTCGTCTATCTCATGTTACACAACCGACAGATGTTATATTATGTTATAAACAGAACGTCCTCACACTATAAAACTCAGCAACTGACAGCAGAATCCACTCAACGATAAACTAGCAAATGACGCCTAGAGTATCCTTCATTGCTCTACAAATAATAAGCCAAATAACAACTACAATCTAGCCATCTACTCTAATGCCAAATACCGACCACCATCTAACCGTACTGCTGATTGCAGTCCAAAGACCAGCAAACCTATAGCCAAATACCGACTACCATCTAGCCATACTGCTGATTGCAGTCTAGATACCATCTAACTATAGCCAACCAGGCACACCATGACAGAAACTGCCATGTCACCTGTTAAATATATTCAAACAATCTATAAGTTCACATTGCCAAGCATATAAACGTGAACGCAACAACATTCTTATACCCTTGAATAAACCTCCATCCACTAACTCACATGTACTTCTTATTCAAAACATATTACTATGTATAACCACACATGCACTATTTACTTTTACCACATGAATGCCCATGCATTTCCTCTTCAACGACAACAATATGGCTACGGACATGGCCTTGCATCCCCCACTCACTTCAACATCTGATACTCCTGTCCCGCCCCTTTACAGGTAAATTCCATTATATCCGTGTGCTGCCTTCTGAGCAGCTTGCCGAGGACAGTTCAAGCTAAATGACTTTCACTTTCCCATATCTTCTTATATCATTCTCTCTTCAAATCACAACTAAATGCTTACAACATTATAACTGCATCATGTTAATACATATGGCGTTATCATTTCCTTGCAGCGCTAACTCTGCTGTTCAATATGATACTTCACACGTCATGCTTATCTGTTATCATGACAATCACCATCATGTGCTGTGCCGGTCTTCCAGTAGTTATTATATCTTCTAACAGAAGCCTACATTCTTCATTACAACCATGACACCATAACTATACATTCACAATTATACATTTTATGACATCAGTGCCCTGCTTTCCTCCTGTATCACAATCAAAACATCGCAGACACAGTCTGGCCGTTAGAAAGGGTCATTCTAGGGCCAGCCTGTTTATTCACCAAACCACTCTTTCTCTACCTGTGAAATCCGATATTGGGCCTCTGACCTAAATAAGAGGGCAGCCTCCGTATGCTGCATGCTCAGAACGTTTCTCGTTGTTGTTTGACTTTCCTTTCCTCCAATGTTCCAAGAAGATGTCTGCTCCCAGAAATCATTATAACATATATATGGATACTCATACTTTGCATTAATACACTTGGATCTGTCAACATGGCATCTGCTGTCTCAGGTGTCCAGTTAGACGACTCGCAAGATCCAGTTAACGCATATCAGAGCAATCATCATCATGTGTCCTACCGACTTCCGGTTAAAATGGACGCTAGACAGCGGCGCCGTTCGGAACAGAGGCAAATTTTTTGCTTCTGCCGGACGGTGGCCGATGCATTTTTGCTCCATTTGTAGACTGGATATAGTTTCGTCGCCCAGCTTCTGAGTTGAATGCATGGCGTGACCCTGTGAGCTGCGGATTGCATTTGGAATGTTTTTTTCGACTGTGACCAACGTGGTGGTGTGAATTGTAGATTCAGAAAATGGCGCGATGCCTGTTGTTCAATGCTTGCGGGACCCGTATTAAAATTGATCACGCGGACAACTGCTGATCTGTTGACGACAAGTTCTGCTATCATCAATGATGAACTGCATTTCTAATGTCGGACTGTTTGTGTTAGCACTTCGGATGGCTACCATATGCTTTAATGCGAGTGTATGCTAGATATGCTGAGACAGCAGTCTGTCAATCTTTCCACAAGGGACTGTGATAGACATTCTGAGTGTTGTTCCTGGCACAGGAGCGGAGCAAAGATGGGGCAACCCGTTTGCTATGAAGCTGAAACTAAGACTACCAGACTACCAGACTACCAGACATGTGTCCTACTAATAACCCAACATGACCTTATCTTATCTAATTACTTAACATGAACACAGTACTACTTACATAACATGAAGCAATATTTCGTGCATTATCTGGCACGTCACACAACAGAAGTATGGACTTAGCTCCATCGTAGCAACATCATCCGAATGCCCACAGCATCCTTCGTTGGCGGAGATCTCAGCGCAAGTGTCCCTGTTAGGGCTCCCAGTAGTGTATTTACCCCTGATGCTACCTCTCTCATTTGTACCTGAGTTCATGAACCTGTGTCTTCTTAGGTCCATTAACCTTTCTCTTTCCCGCCAAAGATGGTTTTCCAAGCCACTTTGCATTATTGATTGGAAAAACCCCAGGAAATCTTGTGTCGTTGCTTTTTTCGTTGCCCTGCCTCTGTTAATTTACGAGTATATTGGCCTACAACAGTTCATGAACAAGCTTGGCATGCACCCACGTCTTTGTCGACTCTTGAGTCAATGCCCTCAGGGTTGTTAGACTATGTAGCGACCTTCTTTATCTCAAGCGACTCTATACCTCCTTATTCCTCCGTGTGTTTCTTTCCTTCTATTTCCTTCTTGTAATAAACATGACTGTAATCAGTACTGTCACATCCCACCCCCGCCGAACAAGCATGTCGCAGGAGGCGACTAAGTATTGGCGTTTCCTACACAGTCGTAGTACATCTGCCTGAGAGGTAGGAAACCAACCATCTGCGTACAAATACAACAGATCTGTTTACGGGTGTGCACACAACTCAAGTTATGGGTCAAGACCAATTTCCAGGAGTGGACGAACATTCTGTCGGAGTTTACAGCTGGTGAACGCTTAGAAAAAGTATACATATGCCTCAACATATCAGTCCATTTGATACCATCTTTGTTTTTCCTGTCTATAGATTCCGAGTGATTGGTGCCTCAAGTTTGCATCCGTTCAGGGTCTCTATCGATGAGCACGCCATTAAACTGTTGGCATCGGACGGGTAAGCCTGTGTTTCTACTTCTGGTTTTTATTTCCCAGTAAAGTATTAATGTCTCCTATCTTGGATATGTACTAACAGATGATGCAAAGTGAAGGGCCTTTTTCACGCCTTCAGGCGTACTAGGCATGTAGGGCTAGACCTATATTTTATAGATCAGTACGCGTTCGGTGGGTGATGTGGTCAACGACATCGCGGCCGACTTTTCTTCCTAGGACTTTACTTGGTACCCCTTTAAAGATGGGTCGACATAGGAGCCAAGGTTTGACTTCGGTAGGATTTGCACCCACGACCTTTGGATCCGCAGGAGAGCGTCTTGTCGCTAAACCACGATAGCTACCTAATGAAAGATGATGGCAGAAGTATGGTAGAAGTCAAAATAGAAATAGACAAACTATTTCCAACAGCACGCTCAAATTTCTGAATAATAGAGCGACTGATGACATTTAAAAAAAAGGCAAACATTTTGTTCTCACTTTGTCATATGGTACCTAGGCAAAGATAACGCAAAGAGAGGGAACAAACAGCCCGGGAGCTACAAGCGACAGTAGACAAAGTGACTGAGTGATGTACAGAAATGAAGGCTGTCGTCCACCCGGAAAAGGCGTCTGTTTTGTGGTGTTCTCTGGACAACAGAATCGTTAAAACTAATGTCCCAAGTCTCACGATAGATGGTAGAGACGTCAACAGAGAGAGAAAACTGAAGTATCTGGGAAAAACATTTGACAGGAGCCTGTCATTTAAGGACCATGTGGAGAGTGTTATGACGAGATGCCAAAAAGGACTTAGTGCACTTAAGACTATGGATGCAATTGACATAGAGCAGAGAATGCTTTTCACACTATATCAGCACCTGATCCTGTCAGTGGTTGATTATGGCCTGGGACTGCCTACCGTCTTAAAGAGTCAGATGGACAAACTAGAGCACATACAGAACGTAGCTATGCGGGTCATTCTGGGTTGCGCAAGAGACACCCCGGTAGTGTGTATGCGATACATCCTTGGCCTGCCGACTGTTGCAGGTAGGCACAAGGTGCTGCAGGCGAAGTCATATCTAGGGTAGCTGCAGACACAGACCACACTTTGCATGAAGCTCCGGGGGCAGTTAAGGGTCAACGGCTGATAACAGGGAAGTCATGGATGGCTCAGGCAGAAGACACAATCGGACAGGTTTTCGTCCTTGGGAACATTAGGCGAGGAGAGAAGTAGGTCAAAGTGCCACCTGCACAGTCAGACTTGTGTAGAGTCATAATCAAATTGAGCCGGGAATGCAGAGGTTGGCCAGCAGGTGCCACAGAGGTGGAAATTCAGCAATTAATTCAAGATAATGCTCGCTCAGAGGATTTGATTATTTACACAGACGGTTCAGTGTCAAGAGGCAAAAGAAGTGCTTGGGGTTTTCTATCAAAAGTTAATGGTCGAGGTTTGGTGCAGGAGAGCCTAGCATATGATACCACAACATCCAGCTTAAGAATTGAGGTGGAAGCGGTCACTGCAGCTTTTCGTTAATTAGAGAATACGACACATACACACATCGTGATTGTAACTGACTCAGAAAGCATGCTGTGGAAGGTCAGGACAGGCATGCTTCACTGCGGAGGACACGGGTGAGGAGTATTGTTTGGATTTTATCACCGGGATCCGCCGGTATGTTGGAAAATGAACAGGCGGAGATACTAGCTGGATCTGCACAACTTGGTGGAATACTGATACATGATAAGGCAGACCTGGTTAGTGCCTTGTGGGAGAGCGTGTACAGTTTGAAGGAGCAGATTGATCACCACAGTCTGGTGAGATTGATGTAGTTGGGAGTGACGAGGGGTTCTGGCAGATGCTCGAGGCTTGGAGGAAAGGCAAGACGGACGTTTAATAAGAATGCTACTAGCACCATTGGTATTGGAACTTTGCACTGGCTGTTGAAGATGGGGGGGGGGGGGGAGGGGGGCATTTGAATTAATCACACCACGAATTTCACAGCTGGCAGGACATAAGTGACAGTGTTTATTCGTTCGCGTTCATGAAACTCTGAACAAAAGCAGCAGTAGGTTTGTGTGTACTGAGCTAAAAGGCTACTGAAAGACCAACCAATCGGAGATTGATTTTGGAATAGCCCTCGTAACGTCATATTTCGTACCTAGAAATTAACATCATGGGTAAATTAGCAGCAAAAAATGCGCAGATTAATTTGAAAAAAAAAAAAAAAAAAAAGAACAGAAAGCTTACGATTACAATAATAATAATATTTAAAAAAAAAAAAAACCTGTCTATCAGAATTATGGTAGTAAAACTTGGTCAAATTATTCATACCAGCGGCAAGACGTGATCAAAAACACGAAGGTATGGAAAGAGCTGGAATTGTAACAGTTTTTTCAATGTTCAGTCTCCCTCCAAAGGCTCAGGTGGCTTGGCCTGACTTGGAGAATAGAGAATGCTAGAATCCCTAAACATATTATCTATAATGAATTACAGATGGGTAGAAAATGTCAAGACTAGCTGCTACTACGATATAAAGATGTGTGCAAGCGAGACATGAATTATGCAGTTACTGAGGCATATTCTTGGGAACAAAATGTCATGGGCCGTGTTATGTGGAAGGGCAAATCAGGGAAGAAATGAGGATGAAGGGGGAAAATGATTGCAGAATGGATGAGAGGAGCGTCTGAGAAGAAGTAAACTAATTACATGTGATGGCAGTAACGGTCCTGAAATCCTATGCGAAAATTGTGGAAGACTTTTCTTAGCTGGTGTCTGTGGCTTAGGCGTTGCGAACGCGCTTCGTAATGCCAGGGTGCTGGGTTTGGTCCCAGCTGTGGACAGTTTGTCTTGCGCTGGTTTCGACAGTGGTACTAAGAGCTGGCTGTTCAGAAGCAGTTGCAAACTACTGAACGTAAAATTTTTCTAGAGAAACCACAACAGCCAAAAAAATCCTGGGGTTGGTTCTGCAACGTCCTGTATACGCAACTAACTTCTCTTAACATGCTAGTCACAGTCGCCATCACCGTGGGCTGTGAATCTCATGCTAGTCACAGTCGCCATCACCGTGGGCTGTGAATCTCATGCTAGTCACAGTCGCCATCACCGTGGGCTGTGAATCTCATTCTAGTCACAGTCGCCATCGCCGTGGGTTGTGAATCTCAGGCTAGTCTCAGTCGCCATCACCCTGGGCTGTGAATCTCATGCTAGTCTCAGTCGCCATCGCCGTGGGCTGTGAATCTCATGCTAGTCACAGTCGCCATCACCCTGGGCTGTGAATCTCATGCTAGTCTCAGTCGCCATCGCCGTGGGTTGTGAATCTCATGCTAGTCACAGTCGCCATCGCCGTGGGTTGTGAATCTCATGCTAGTCTCAGTCGCCATCGCCGTGGGCTGTGAATCTCATGCTAGTCTCACTCGCCATCGCCGTGGGTTGTGAATCTCATGCTAGTCACAGTCGCCATCGCCGTGGGCTGTGAATCTCATGCTAGTCTCAGTCGCCATCGCCGTGGGTTGTGAATCTCAGGCTAGTCTCAGTCGCCATCGCCGTGGGTTGTGAATCTCATGCTAGTCTCAGTCGCCATCGCCGTGGGCTGTGAATCTCATGCCTCCTCATAACACAGTATAACACTTTAGTCTGGACAGACGGACAGGTGAAAGCCATTCTCCTCTTTAAACTATATAACTGAAAGAGACTAGGCCAAAATAATATCCGCAAACAGCATATTATACTAGTTCCCTACGACATTCTTGTTACGGGACAGTGGATGTGTGGTGTTTTAAAAAATTTTTTAATCTACCCAAAATTGAGCCACAGAATACACACGTGGAATATATTGTTTTAAAACCATTCACAGATACGAGCTGCAACCAGTTGTAGTTGAATCTTTCATTATCAACTCTGGCGAGCGATACGACTTCGAGATTGTGACAAACCAGACCGAGAAAAACTACTGGATAAGAGCGCAAACACTGGAGGTCAACGTGTCCAACCACATCGCTCTGGCTATTCTCAGGTACCAGGGGGCACCAGACGAGGACCCGACAACAGAGAGAAGAAACTGCACAGATCTTGACAGGTGAGTTTTCTTGCCTATGTCTTCCTCGCTTGTTGGTGATTCTTCTTGTTCTGTCCCAATCCGTTAATAGAGCACAGGTCTTTCAGCCAACTTAGGTCAAGTTGTCCTACCATTTGTCATCCCATGCAGCGCACTCCATGCCATTCCCATTGTTTTGTTTTCAGCTTCAGTCTCTAGTTTCTTTCTCCCTGTTGTTGTTGTTATGTGTACTGTTTTTTCTAGGAGCTGTCGTGGTGTAGTGTCTAGACGCTCATCTGCGGACCCAAAGGTCCTGGGTTCAGGTACTGACGGAGCCAGGGTTTTTTCTTCTTCCCAGAAATGACTTTTGCCTTAAATTGGTACCAGGTAAAGTCCTGGGAAATAAAGGCTGCCAGCGTGATGTTGACCATTTCACCCATGGTGTGCTGATTGTTAATACAATATAGGTCTTTCCCTATATTCCCAATAAGCCTAAAGGCGTGGAAAATTGTCATTTACTCTTATTTCTATGCCCTTGTGAGTTCCAATGTAAAGCCGTTTTAGTTATATTTGTTATCAGGTTTTCTCAACGCCAACGTCTTTGCCACACCTCTTGATTGAGTGCTATTTTTTTTAGCTCTCTCCCAAGCCTTCGTATTAGTGATTCTATCATACTATTTTAGTTCCCCATATTCTTCGCACACATCAGTTAATTAATGTTTTTTTTAGTTTATTGGGAACTGTTTTAGTTGTTCATGTTTCCGATACATAAAGCAGTATTGGTTTGACATTAAAGTTAAATACTGTATTTTAAGGTTTGTACATGTATTAGTGTCGGCTCTGTGGCTAAGTCGATGCCAACGCTTCGTAATGCCGGGATACCGGGTTCGATCCCAGCTGCGGGCCATGCGTTGGTTTTGACAGTGGTATCAAGAAAGCCGACCTCCAGAAAGCAATGGCAAACTACTGGACGTAAATTTGCCTAGAAACCACACAACAGCCAGGGCTGGTGGGGGTTGTTCTGCAACGTCCTGTAAAAGATACGCTACTAGCCTAACATGTATTAGTTTTAGTTTCTCTGAGTCCCACAACATTCCCAGTGCAATGAAAACGCCTCTCGCTTTTTGTATTCGTATTTTAATTTCTGTATCAGTTTTCCACCCCTTTATCTACATTACTGCCTATTTTATGTGAATGAACGCACATCTCCTAGGAGAGTTTCGCCAATTGAAAGTGGATTACTGTTTACCTGGATTGTTGATGATACGTCGAAGAATCACAAGCCTCTGATCAGGGCTGTTGAAAATGTAGAACATTTCACATATCTTGGCAGTGTGGTGTCCCTATTGGGAGGGACAGAGGAAGACATACACTTACGCCTGAACAAAGCTAGAGCTGCTTTTGGAAGGGTTAGGAAATCTGGAAATCCAACAATTACTGCAGATGAACGAAACTCTGACTCTACAAGAGCATCATTTTGCCATTTCTTCTTTATGGAGCAGAATGCTGGAGAATGACCAAACAGGATGCACACAAGCTGTCCACCTTCCACCACACATGTCTACGTAGAATTATCAAAATTTTCTGGCCAGTTACAATCTCAAAACTAAACTACTTCAAGCCACAAACCAAGAAACTTTAGACATTACGATAATTAAGAGAAGATAGAAATGGCTTGGCCACGTTATGAGAATGACTGACTGACTGACTTTCTACCCCACCAGGACAACACACAAGCGATAAACACCCGATGACCCAATTTGCCAATAAGAGTATAATTATTATGTCTGGTTGTAGTTAACATATAGTAACTAGTTTAAACCAACTTTGAAAAACATGGTTCTTGACAGGTTTTTGAAAAGAAATTTGGCTCTCAAAATGTTTTTCATCGTTCTGGTATTTTGGCTTTTTCTTTTACTAAAGAGTTTGCCGACCACCACTGGACTTAGGGAAAGTAATCCACACATTGACATCTTTGTCTTCTCTCTGATATCATATTTAAATCTGAGAAGCTAATGGACTTGCGGACAAGACTACTGGTGGTGGGGGGTGGGGAACAGTGGCTCATACTTTTCTAATTAATATTTAATATTCAACGAGAAGTGAGACTTGTGCGCAAATAAAATAATGATTATGACAGGACTGCAAAACCAGAAAGTTAAAAGGTGTAATACCAGACAATGAAAAAAAAAAAAAAAGCAGCACTCTGCAGGAGGCGAATAAAGAAAAATAAATAACAATGAACTGGAATGGTCAGCAGCTACACAATGGTAGATATGTGTAGGAGAGGGTATGAATATTTATAGACTGAATGAGTGATTCGATGGGTTGATAGTGAGAAGGATTTGTCCGCCAACTAACCGTTGTGTTTATGCATGTCATTTACGAAAATGTTTACGAATATCTTTTCCTCTCTAAAGCCCTGCAGCGTGTAGAGCCGTTAGAAGTAAAGTATATTTAGACAGGGGTGGAAATAAAAAAAACCAGTTCTGATACATATTGCTATAAAAGCAGTTTACTTCACTTTGTGTTTTTGAGTGAAACTTGGAAATCTTTCTATCTATCAGACTGTCTCAAAGGAAAGAATTGTTTCTCGGCTTGTTGGCCAAGCTGGCACGAGAGTTATGGCCAGGTTTAAACAAAGGGAAGGGGCGGGTCCATAATCTGTTCGTTTGCTTGACGTGCAATACATGGCGCCTTAAGTCAATGTCGTGTTAAACCGATTCCAGTGAACAGACTTCAAAAGCAAACAAACAAGCAGGCCAGTGCAATATTTATGCATCACAGTCACCTCATTTTTGTCAGATTCCATCTTGATTTGTTTTTTTCTAGAAGTAATATCCAACATTTAGACAAACATCTGTACAAATTACTGGACACTAAATTCACCTAGTTATATTTAAATACTGTAATTAGAGATCAGAACTCTAGTATCTGCTAAACAATGGTCAAAGACAATTTATCACAAACTTCAGAAAAAAAAAACATCGTAATTTTATGGTTATAGTATTAGAAGAAAGAGAGGGAACATGTTGCGACGGCTGAAAAGATTTGCGAAAGAAGCAACAGAGTATGACAACGTCATAATATTTTTGAAAATCTTGTCCTACGACAGAGGGAGGGTGTCAGCACACACATAATGATAACGCTGCTGGAAATCGCAGTATGTAAATAGGCATGATCGTCCACGTCACTCGGCAAGGCACGTGATGATTGATTGTGTTGGTGATGATGATCCGTCGCTAACATGACTACATAGACTGGGCGTAAAGCATGACCAAGCACTTATATGAAGTCTGCGAGACCAAGATATGAGACATTATAAAAAAGTAGGTATTTATCGAGGCTACTAAACGAGCAAAAACCAGAACCTTTCGTCCCTACCCACCCCCCCCCCCACACACACACACATACACAGCAGAAATGGCAAACAGCACTCGTGAATTAGTCAGTAGCTGTCCTTTAGACAGCTGCTGCGTCGCAGGACTGAGCACGTATGAGAGTATCAATGTACATATATTGAAAACGACTGCGTTGGCAAAGCGTACAACAACCCTTCAAGAACAGATAACAATTTTCATTGTTTTAAACTATGTGACATTTGGCTGGTGTCAGACAGATAAATAATTTCTCCTCAGATGTTTGGTCGTGAACTGTCCATTTTCCTACTACCCAGAAGATACGTTCACGGACTGTAAGCCAGTCGGGACCATACTTGCTGCAGAAAGCAGCAATGTCCCGGGTACCAGCAGGCAACAGCTAGAAGACGTGGAGGAGATCTTTCTCAACTTTGCTTTTCCCGGAACTACCTGGACTCCCGGCTCAGTCAATGGCCGCACTTTTCAGGTACATAATTAGTAATCTTTCTTCTTCTGCCTTCGCCACTAAAACTTAGGTTGGCGTGTTGTGTTGTGGTTTACGGCTAGACTGATTCTTTCGGCTCAACATATCTGATATCAATATACTCTTAAAACTAACCGCATTTTGGGAAATGCTTGTTATAGGGTACCGGATCTATCTCCCCCCCCCCCCCCTTCCCCACTTCATCAATAGAGCACTAGGAATCCCTAGGTAGCCCCAAGGGTATGTAAAAGTAATATAACACATTCAGTACTAAGTGACTCATCGCGCGTTTGTTAGTTTCAGCATCATGTGTATGATACTAGAATGGCAGCCAGGCACTGAAACAAGACTCACGTGGAGAAAACAGATAGAAAAGACACAGAGCAAGGGACTCAACAGAACCCAACTGATGAGGAAGCTAGCTGGAACATAAGTCTAGGTGCAAACCTCAGTGTCCTCAAGAGGACCTATACAGGCTATGTGAGGCCAACACTAGAATATGAATAGCTGCTTGGGCACAGCAGCCAAATTAGATTTTCAGAAAGTCTCAAAGGTCCAAAACCAGACTCTCCGTATTATGACAGGTGCAGTGTGCTCCACGCCCATATCAGACATGGAAACAATTATTGGTCTCCATGATCTGGAAGATAGGAGAGACACAAAGCTTCTCACCCAGCTCTCCAAATACCACCACTTTATAGAATAACCTATGCACAGCCGACTGCAGAAACCCCAGAAGGCTAGACTAAAGATAACCTGTTTTATTAGGAAAGCAAATGCCAAGCTCGCTGTCCTCAAACTCCTTCCGGTAATACCATTTAAACCTTACAACGACTGTCCCCCTTGGCTTAGGGATAGCTTGCCAATAGTCAGAACCACAGGGATTTCTTCCAAATCATCAATGAGCAGCAATGATATGAAATCAACTACAGAAGTAGAGACGAACAGACTTTATCCACACCAGAGTTGAATTAGAGTGTATACAGATGGTTTAGTCAAGAAAGCAGTAAAAGAAGGAAGAGGAAGAATATACATAGAATGCCTAAATGGTTTAAAAATCAACCAGGCTGTGTACCAACAGGTTCATATTCCTTCAGTTACAGAGCAGAGGCAGAAGTACTTCTGGCGGCATGTTCTTTCCTGAATGGACAACAGCACAGCAAATATAGAAGAGTGGTCTTTCTGGCTGATGCTATGTCAGTTCTACAAGCAATTGTTAACCCAAGAGACACTCAGTTTGTAGACTTGACGCAACAGCTGATTGACTTAGGCTCTTCAGTAGAACAATCTGTAATGCAGTGGATCCTGTGGCTTGAAAGGCAATAAAATAGCAGACAGATTGGCCAGAAGCGGCAGTGACATGGTACAACAAAATAGCGACTTAACCCACCAAGAGACGAAAACATTATCAGAATCTAGTATCCAAGGAAGGTGGCTGGATACACACACCAGATTTTCTCCCAAAGACTCGCTTTATCGCCTCTCTTGAGAGGGACAGTGTATCATATTCAGACTAAGGAATGGGCACAACAGACTTCGTCAACATATGATCACATTTTGTGGTGTAGGAAACACGGAGACGTGTCCCTGCAGCGTGGCACCCGAAAATGCTGAGCATGTGCTCCACCACTGTCAACTGTATGCTGACAACAGAGACGCAATCTGGCCTGTTCCAGCCACAATGAAGACAAAGTTGTATGGTACACGAGAAGATTTGGACTGCACGAAAGCTTTCATAAAGGCTACCGGCCTCCTGATATAAGTTTTCTGACAGAAGGATAGAAGAAGAAGAAGCATACACTAATTCAGCCAGCACTCGGTGGCTGATGTGTCAGTATCGTCACTACTTCCCATGTATTTACATGGTACTTTACTGGATCGGTGAAAATCAGAATTTATTCGAAGACCTTCGGGCGTCTAGCCGCTACGATACCTCGGCTACACGAGGTCGAAGGTAGTGAACTGGTTTCCATCCATGATATCCGGCAGAACAGAACGGTACAAAGGTCAAAGGTACCGGACTGGTTTTCATCCATGATATCCGGCAGAACAGAATGGTACAAAGGTCAAAGGTAGTGAGCTGGTTTTCATCCATGATATCTGACAGAACAGAACGGTACAAAGGTCAAAGGTACCGGACTGGTTTTCATCCATGATATCCGGCAGAACAGAACGGCAAGGAGGAATGCGAGCCCTGTGCGACCCATAAGCGATGATTTTAACCATATTACCTAAGAAATCTTGAAACAGTGTTAAAATCTTCATACATTCCATGTTGATAAAGGGGCGTGGCTATCTCAAATAATTAAAGCAAACAGATGCCCGCAAATGACTGCATGTTAACCTGTTATTTGTGCCCTAATTATAACGTGTTTGGAGATGGAATCAGTTATCTGGTACCTGCCTTGAATCAGTTATCTGGGACCTGCCTTGAATCAGTTATCTGGTACCTGCCTTGAACCAGGTATCTGGGACCTGCCTTGAATAAGTTATCTGGTACCTGCCTTGAATCAGTTATCTGGTACCTGCCTTGAATCAGTTATCTGGGACCTGCCTTGAACCAGGTATCTGGGACCTGCCTTGAACCAGGTATCTGGGACCTGCCTTGAACCAGGTATCTGGGACCTGCCTTGAACCAGGTATCTGGGACCTGCCTTGAATCAGTTATCTGGGACCTGCCTTGCATCAGTTATCTGGGACCTGCCTTGAATCAGGTATCTGGGACCTGCCTTGCATCAGTTATCTGGGACCTGCCTTGAATCAGTTATCTGGGACCTGCCTTGCATCAGGTATCTGGGACCTGCCTTATTGGTCTGCCATCCAGATGAAGAATTTTGTTTTCGTTTTGTTTTGTTAAATTCTGGGGGTTGAATTTCAGGGTGATCAACTTCCATATGGCATCTCGGAGGTGACAAACCGAACGATCGATTAAACGATCAGCAGCGTCAATCAGGACAGTGTACTTGTTTTGACTGACCACTTGGGGCTAGCGGTCGGGGCACTGACCACTTTGTCTCTCTTTGCTCCATGAACAGTAAAATGTGACCACCCTGAGATATACAGGTCTCAATGAGAAACAGAACAAACCCCAGACACCCCCCCCCCCGGTCCAGCCTTCAAATAGGTTATAACTGGGGCACCTGTATTGGGCATTCTAGTCTGGTGTCACCTGTAGTTCTGTGCGTGAAGGGGACACGCGATTAAAAAAAAAAGTTTAGGTAAGATTATTTATACATAATTAGTTTTTGAGACATGAGGATTTTCGGCGGAATTTTTTTTCGTGTGTGCGTGCGCGCGTGCGTGCGTGTGTGTGTGTGCGCGTGCGTGCATCCTATCTCCCCCCAGATCCATGATTATTTATATAAACCCATATTTTAAAAGCGCCGGGTGAGGAACTCCATATGGCCCGGGTTCACGCCCGAGGGTAGGCAGAAAAGCCATATTTCTAAAACATTTACGGTATATATCATGGAATCAAGGCCGGAGGGTTAACAATACCGAGCCGAATGGTTAACAACTTATGGTTTCTGGATACTTAAAAAAAAAAAAAGACATTAGGATTTTCTGTGGAAATGTTTTTATTCCGTCATGTCTGTGAGTACAATCTTATCTTGCCAGTTTCCTGCGGTGTCCGCCCTCAGCCAGCCACAAGAGATCACCACTCAGTGTGATCCGGAGCAGTGTGGAGAAGAGAAGATCTGCGGGTGCACCTATTCTCTTGATCTCAAGGTCAGTTCTTATTTATTTATTTGTAGTGTAAATGGTTCGACGTCTGTGGCTTAGGTGATGCGGGTGGGCTTCGTAATGCTGAGGTGCATTGTTAGATCTCAGTTGCGGGTGGGCTTCGTAATGCTGAGGTGCATTGTTAGATCTCAGTTGCGGGTGGGCTTCGTAATGCTGAGGTGCATTGTTAGATCCCAGTTGCGGGTGGGCTTCGTAATGCTGAGGTGCATTGTTAGATCTCAGTTGCGGGTGGGCTTCGTAATGCTGAGGTGCATTGTTAGATCTCAGTTGCGGGTGGGCTTCGTAATGCTGAGGTGCATTGTTAGATCTCAGTTGCGGGTGGGCTTCGTAATGCTGAGGTGCATTGTTAGATCCCAGTTGCGGGTGGGCTTCGTAGTGCTGAGGTGCATTGTTAGATCCCAGTTGCGGGTGGGCTTCGTAATGCTGAGGTGCATTGTTAGATCTCAGTTGCGGGTGGGCTTCGTAATGCTGAGGTGCATTGTTAGATCCCAGTTGCGGGTGGGCTTCGTAGTGCTGAGGTGCATTGTTAGATCCCAGTTGCCGGTGGGCTTCGTAATGCTGAGGTGCATTGTTAGATCCCAGTTGCGGGTGGGCTTCGTAGTGCTGAGGTGCATTGTTAGATCCCAGTTGCGGGTGGGCTTCGTAATGCTGAGGTGCATTGTTAGATCCCAGTTGCGGGTGGGCTTCGTAGTGCTGAGGTGCATTGTTAGATCCCAGTTGCGGGTGGGCTTCGTAATGCTGAGGTGCATTGTTAGATCCCAGTTGCGGGTGGGCTTCGTAATGCTGAGGTGCATTGTTAGATCCCAGTTGCGGGTGGGCTTCGTAATGCTGAGGTGCATTGTTAGATCCCAGTTGCGGGTGGGCTTCGTAATGCTGAGGTGTATTGTTAGATCCCAGTTGCGGGTGGGCTTCGTAATGCTGAGGTGCATTGTTAGATCCCAGTTGCGGGTGGGCTTCGTAATGCTGAGGTGCATTGTTAGATCCCAGTTGCGGGTGGGCTTCGTAATGCTGAGGTGCATTGTTAGATCCCAGTTGCGGGTGGGCTTCGTAATGCTGAGGTGCATTGTTAGATCCCAGTTGCGGGTGGGCTTCGTAATGCTGAGGTGCATTGTTAGATCTCAGTTGCGGGTGGGCTTCGTAATGCTGAGGTGCATTGTTAGATCCCAGTTGCGGGTGGGCTTCGTAATGCTGAGGTGCATTGTTAGATCTCAGTTGCGGGTGGGCTTCGTAATGCTGAGGTGCATTGTTAGATCTCAGTTGCGGGTGGGCTTCGTAATGCTGAGGTGCATTGTTAGATCCCAGTTGCGGGTGGGCTTCGTAATGCTGAGGTGCATTGTTAGATCCCAGTTGCGGGTGGGCTTCGTAATACTGAGGTGCATTGTTAGATCCCAGTTGCGGGTGGGCTTCGTAATGCTGAGGTGCATTGTTAGATCCCAGTTGCGGGTGGGCTTCGTAATGCTGAGGTGTATTGTTAGATCCCAGTTGCGGGTGGGCTTCGTAATGCTGAGGTGCATTGTTAGATCCCAGTTGCGGGTGGGCTTCGTAATGCTGAGGTGCATTGTTAGATCCCAGTTGCGGGTGGGCTTCGTAATGCTGAGGTGCATTGTTAGATCCCAGTTGCGGGTGGGCTTCGTAATGCTGAGGTGCATTGTTAGATCTCAGTTGCGGGTGGGCTTCGTAAAGCTGAGGTGCATTGTTAGATCCCAGTTGCCGGTGGGCTTCGTAAAGCTGAGGTGCATTGTTAGATCCCAGTTGCAGGCGGTTTGTCGCAGAACGTCTTTCGTTGGTTTCGACAGTGGTACCCAGAGCTAACAGTGCTAGTAAAGCTAGTAATCGTAAAATCTGTCTAGAAAAACCACAACAGAAAAAAACAATACTTGGGTTTCTTCTGCCACGTCCTGTAAAGGATACACAGCTATCTTAATGTTAAGGGTGTCTGTTTGTTGAGGGATTAGTAACCGATTTTACAGAAAGACACGCACACATATCAATGGCTTACTTACGTAAGATGCCTGAGAAAAGCTGCCAGCTTAATCATCCGAGAGAAAGTAAGAAACGATGTTATCAGACAGACTGTAGGAACAACACCGTGCAGCACAATCACTGAGAAACGGAAGATCAAATGGCTTGGTCATCTAGTAAGAAGGCAGCCAGGACAACTATTTACACAGGTGCTACATATCAAGAGGTCGCCCTAGGAGAAGACAGATTGACAACATTAAAGAGCTTCTACATCGACACGGAATGACAACTATGGGGGTGGGGGGGGGGGGAGTTATGCTCCGAGGTTTTCATTATGCCGACTAGTGTGGCTGTGAAAACCGACCTATGATCTGTGATTGTATAAGATTTTTGTATTTTCCAATAAGGAATATAAAATGCTTGCTCCTACTTCTCCTTTCTCATTAAAAAAAAAAATCCATTTGTGTACACTATCAGTTTTACTGTTTCTAATGTGCTCCTCTGCTATGGTCCTTGCTTGTAGTGGATCAATGTTTTGTGAAATCTGTTTTGCCAGGCTCATGTCTACATAAGGTGGTTTCAATTTCCGTGGTGGTATCTGAGGTTTATATCTCTTACTCAATGCGAGTGTTCTTGCCAGTTCCTTATTAGTTTCATTTTTACTACAGCATCTCATCCTGCTGGCATAAGAATGTTTCTTTAATTAGCACCCCCTTGAATTTTTTTGCATTGGTGTTAAGAGCGTTACATGCTGGATGATCATGATTGTGTGCCGTCTGAAGCCAGTAATTGTATATTAATTGCTTCCTTCTCAAATTTAACGGTACTGTACCTAGATCTACTTCCATTGCTTCTCTTGATGTGCCTTTACCTGCACACATAATAATGGCTAGTGCTTGGCCCTGTATACTGTGTAGTTTAATTTTTTGTGCAATTAGTTGCTGAGTTATAGACAATGCTTCCATATTTGAGTTTTCCTCTTAGGAAAGCTTTATAAAATTGTAAGAGAGTGGCTTTGTGAGCTCCCAATCCACTGCTTTCGATTAACCTTAAAAAGTTACTAATTCTTCAACATTTATCTACCGTTGTATCAACATGTTTGCCCCACTTCAGCAGAATCATTCCTAGAAACCTTGTGCTCGTTACTTTTTGGACTGGTCTTTCGCAGTCTCTAATTGTAAGAGAATCACTGTAATAGTAGCGTTGTCTTTTGTAGTTAAATACTATGCTTACTGTTTTGCTGGTATTTATTTTTAATCTCCATTTAATCATCCAATTAGTAACATTATAAATTTCTTTTTGTAATCTGTTTCTTCCCCTCTTCACTGACTTATCAATCAATCATCCGCAAATTGTATCAGGCTTACTTTCTCGTTCTTAATTACCTCGTCAAGATCATTAATTAGTATTGAGAAAATTGTTGGTGACAACACCGCACCTTGGGGGAATCCGTTCTTCTGTACATAGATATTTGATCTGTCATTGTTAACAATCACAGAGAATGTTCTATCCTCCAAGAAGCTCCTAATGTACCTATATACTCGACCACCTACTAGTCTTATGCCTCCATTGGTTCCTCGCCTCTCAGGCAGATGCACTTCGACTTTAAAGGAAACGTCGATCCTTTCTTCATTAGCCAGGCGCCCGGCTCTCTAGCGTAGTTGGCTAAACCGGATTGCGCGGTAAGCAAACTCCTTGTGGTCCGGGTTAGCTCCCGGGGGTAGGCAGAAAAGCCACATTTTCTCCCAGATTTACGGTTTTTACAATGGAATCAAGGCCGAAAGGTTGCGATATCCATATTACCGAGGCTAAGGGTTAACAACTCATGGCTTCTGGATACTAAAACAAACAAACAAACATTAGAAAGGCCTTCAGCTGGGTCTCTTTTCTAGAATGACCATAGAAATGTATAGCTAGGTCTTTTCAAGTAGGAGCCATGATCTTAGTGGTACATCCCCTCTGTATCCCACAACATAACTTTGTCCACGACTCCCTTCTTCTTCTTTTTTTAATCTCACTGATACCAGGTTGCAGCTTGGTGTTGGTGTATTTTGAATGTCTTGCGCTTTTCTGATGATTGTCTTGTTCATATCTTTGCAGGCCTCTGCTGCTCTTTTTATCCACATATTTCTTGGTTATAATTCGGATATATAATGCTAATTGGGTTAATTGTTATTTGATATATCGTATAATTATTTACATGACCAATATGCAATTTGTATTGTTCCACATTTTGCTGTGATTTGGGTTGTGATTTTGATCGAAACTGTACTATGAATAAATAGACAATTTTACTAACATTGTGTCATTAACATGTTGGATATATTGTTTCCTTAGTGTATCACTGATTATTCTCCTCGATTTTATCTTAAGGGGAAACAATGATTTTGAGCAAATGTTTACAATAATTTAGAATATTTTATTTTTCAATGTTGAATTGTTTCCCCTGCTGTTAGCACAACAAAGTCTATCAGATGATTCTTGTCAACATGGGAGATGGCAGAGGTTGGGCTCACCCTGTACACATGCACGGCCACTCATTCTATGTGCTCAAGCAGGGCTACCCTCAGTATAATCGCACGACGGGTAAGTGTGTTCTATCGTAAAACCCACAACTTGTGTAAAAGTTACTACTACCCGATAAGATTAAGTATCATTCAGTCAATGCTGAGCTTACCCCATACATGCATGGCCAACCAATCTATGTGTTCCTACAGATGTGCTCTGTTTTATTGTTGTTGGTGCTTTTGCAGACGATAGTGTTATACTGTGATACAGAGTGCCATAGGAGTTACATCTCATGTCGATGAAAAAGGGATAAAGTTCTCCCCTGCACAGCACAAAGTCTGGGCAGCACTGTAGAAACCGTCCCAGTGCTGCACTGTAGAAACCGTCCCAGTGCTGCACTGTAGAAACCGTCTCAGTGCTGCACTGTAGAAACCGTCCCAGTGCTGCACTAGAAGTATGATTCCTTCCTCCCTTGGTTTGCCTTATTCACTCCAGAGGAAATGTAACATCAATAAGTCTGGAACATGCTGCAGAAGCTGCAGGGTCAGAAGAGCAGTAGTCTTGTCTGTCCATGTGTCAGAATTTTCCTTCTTGACCACCTTACCAACTACGGCTAAGAGCCAGTTCTGTCCTAACATTAAGTTTCCCGGTTGCAATTCTACTTCCTAAAGATAAGGCTAGTATGTTTATCCTTCCCAGTGTGCTCATCTGCCTGTTTGTTTGTTCTAAAGTATGACTCAAGCTGCACATGGCAGCATTACTGTTTATTTGTGTAAAGGTTGGGACCCTTGCTTGTAAGTATATTCTACACTAAGTTTGCAGTTGTATCAATCAGGTACCATGAGCACACTCAAGGCTGGCTGCAAAAGATTTATCAAATTCTTGCTCTCATTCTGTTTGTACATTTCACATTTCACTCATCTCTTAATGTCTTCCCACCTATGTGACTATCAATCTTCTTGTCTCCTTGCCTGACATCTACTTTTATCTCCAGCATTTTCATATAAGTATTGTATCTTTTAATGTTGCAACAATTTTTTAATAATTCTGTTATATTTATCTCAATCTGTCATTTCATGTCTCTCCAGAACCTCCACATTTGATTGCTTTTGTCGTCATTAAACAATATTAAAAACAATATGGCGTCTATAATTTTCAATGTGATATTTATCTCTTAAGACTTTAATATTTGCTTTGTGTTGAAAATACATTTAGCTTAGTCATTGTGATTGCTGTTGTGAAGAAGTTTAAAGCAAATATGGGCGGCTAAAATACGATATTAAGATGACCTAGCAGGAGAGGCAGAAGCAACAACAGCAAAAGGAAACCTCAGAGACCTGCAGGTAAATGTAACTAAATTATGGACTTTAATAAAAGTATACAAAGTAAGAGCAGCCTTGATACCACTAGGAAATATGTAAAAAAAAAAAAAAAAAACGGAGCCTCATATCGCTAGGAAATGTGAAAATATCAAAAGGAGCCTTGATACTACCAGGATATGTGCAAAAATCAAAAGGAGCATTTTTATACTAGGAGATGTGTAAAAATCAAAACGAGAATTTTTACACTAAGAAATTTGTCAAAATAAACAGGAAACCTCAGAGACCTGCAGGTAAATATAACTAAATTATGGACTTAAATAAAAATATACAAAGTAAGAGCATCCCTGATACCACTAGGAAATATGTAAAAATCAAACGAAGCCTCATATCGCTAGGAAATGTGAAATATCAAAAGGAGCCTTCATACTACCAGGAAATTTGTATAAATCAAAAGGAGCATTTTTACACTAGGAAATTTGTAAAAATCAAAAGGAGCATTTTTACACTAGGAAATTTGTAAAAATCAAAAGGAGCATTTTTATACTAGGAGATGTGTAACAATCAAAACAAGAATTTTTACACTAGGAAATTTGTCAAAATTAAAAAAGTTGCATTTCTATACAAAGAAATTTGTAAACATATATATATATATAAAGCATTTTTACACTAGGAGATGTGTAAAAATCGAAAGGAGCATTTTTAAACTAGGAAATTTGTAAAAATCAGAAGGAGCCTTTAAACACTAGGAAATAGGTAACAATCACAAGGAGTCTTTATATACAAGAATGTGTAAAAATAATAATAAATTTTAGTCTAGAGTCTAACTTATCATATTATCAAACCGTTACTCCAGTATACATATTACAAATGCAGACAGCAACTAACACAATTACAAATAATCTACAGATATTAATTCACTTGTGCCTGCACAGAATAGAAAAAAGGTACGACAGAATCACTAATGTAGAGATTATAAGAAGTATCTGACTGTTTTTTCCAGTCAGGTTGCTAGCAGAACCTTTGACGAACTCCTGATATTTCACAAATAGCAAACCATTCAGCCAACAGAGCAGATTGCAGACACCCTGTTCAATCTCGTCCAGTGTACTCTACAATTCTGTCTGGGTTAGGATGATGGGGATAAAGAAGTAAACAAATCCTAGTAAATCAAGAGGTTAGGAAAACAATCTGCATTGATCACAGTGACTTCAGCAAGAAAAAAACCTTGTTTAAATAGATCAGCAATAAAAAAGAATGACATTGTCCATCTGCTGAAATGTTCTCTTTCTTCTTCCTTCATTCCCTAGTGGGGAGTCCCAGTGGCATAGCGTGCAAATCGGAAGGTCATGGGTTCGCTCCCTGGCGGAGCTGGACTTTTTTCAAAAATGACCTTGACTCCCAGGTCGACCCAGCCTTGAGTGGGTACCAGATGCAGTCCCGGGAAGTAAAGGCTGCCGGAGTGATGCTGACCACATCACCTATCTTGTGCCGATTGGTCTATAAAAATATAGGTCTAGCCCTAAATGCCTAAAGGCGTGGAAATGGGAGCTTTACTTACTTTACATTATTCTCAAGTCAGCAATGGCAATCAAGCAAAGTCATCCATCTTTTCATTTTTGTCATGCATAGCTTCCCCATTTCCTCCTCATAATTTTCACATTCTCTTCTCTTCTCTTTTTTTTTTTGGGGGGGGGGGGGGGGGGTCTGTCTTTATTCCTTTTACTCTGTGGGTTCCAACAGAAAAACTAGTTAAATTATCAGGTTTTCTCAACATATCCAGTACCATCGTCTTTTCCTCACCTCTCGATTGCTGACATCCAGATTATAAGAAATTGTTGTTTATTTTGTCAGGAAAAGTGATAAATGACAACACAGACATAGACTGTGGAGGCAATCGTAATGGGACAGAGAGTTTCTGCAATGCTGCTAGATGGGCCAATGCTTCCTGGGGAGGAAACAACGTGCCGGGTTTACATCTAGAGTCACCTCCCCGTAAGGACACAATTATGGTTCCTACTGGAGGGTAAGTGTTTTAGCATTACTGTTCTTCTGGCTCCCATCGTAGCAAGAGGCGGCTACTGCAGCTGATTCTCACTTGGGTCACCTGCCCGTGTGGGTTCTGGAGACCATTTCTGGGGAAATTAGGAATAGACCCACTGCTCCTTAACATGTCATAAAAGACAACTAATTGGCATTTGGTGAGGTCAGATCTGTTAAACCAAAAAAGTGCAGATATGATATCACAGCCTAGCTGTAAACATTTTTTTTGTATCGAACACCGGCTGTGAATTCCAGTGGAAGGTCGCGGTTAATCGTCCGCTTGGACTTTTGGCTTTCACCTGGACCTGATTTTTGCGTGTACAACCGTTTTTCATTTCCCTGCCTCATGGGCAGCTGTACTCCGACTTCGAAGGAGGACGTCAGGCCTATTTCTAGGGTGACTGTGGCCATTGTTTTGTGTGGGTCAAGACGTTGCCTGATTTGTGTGGTGTCCACTTCTCCGCAGGTATTGCCCCCCGGGCATCCCTTTGGGGCAGCCTTCTGTGGAGCAGTTAGCCCTCAAGGGAAGGCAGGGGCAGATCATGGGCATTCCCCGCCATCCAAGGAGGCTTCCATGTATGCAGAGCCGGCACATGGCGCTCTGGTTCTGGGCTCACCCAAGGAATCGTCACGTCTTGCACATGCCTACTTAACCTCACAACCGTATCAGGCCTCCCGCTCGACAGGGGCTGCGCCCTTTGGAAGTCAGCGGGGAGCAGCCCGTGGGTTTTGGACTTTTGTGACCACACAGATAGGTACATTCTTTTTTTTTCTTTTCTTCGCACGTTAGATTTCTTTGACGAGCCGTTAGCCCGACAGATTTTACATCCTGCGTCAGGCATATCTTTATAAGTTTTGTCCCAACACTCGGGCGAGTGGGGTCTTTGGGTGTGGGCAATTGGTCTTTTTACGTTCAATACAAATTGTGATGGTCAGATTTTGATCCGTATGATCCAGTTTTGTCGGACATTTAGGCTTAGCCATCTGATGGATGGTTGCTGTTGTGGTGTACCTCAGCGTGGTGACGACGACACTGAGGGTTAACCGAGGATGTACATGTATGGCCAGCCTATGGATGGTTGCTGTTGTGGTGTACCTCAGCGCGGTGACGACGACACTGAGGGTTAACCGAGGATGTGCAGTGAGCAATGATCTCTTTACTCCGCAGTCTTTTAACCAAGGGTTGTAATTTTGGCTGTACGTTTGGCAAACCTGCTCACGTTCCTAATGAGTTTTGATAACTTTTTTCACCCAAGCGTTTGGGGGCGGGCTGATGAGAGCCACAAGGACACATCACCTCTGGGGGCCGCCGAACTCCGAGATCCCCTGACAGCTCTGTTAATGCTCATTTGAGACATTATCCGTGGCGCACGACGAGGACGTGCTGCAGGGGTCTTGCGTGAGGTTCCGTACAACCAGGATAGTGAAGGACTGGCGCCCGAGTGACGTATGGAGTATCTCCTTATACACATCATGTTGGACTTAACTTCCCCTCACGCCTGTGACATAAATCACCGCGCCACGCTGTAAACATAATATGCCAACCTTCTTTTAAGGTTGAAAACAGAAGAGGAAAAATTCACTCTGCCTGTGTTTTGCATCACATCTAGTTATGCATTTCACTGTGCATTTAAGTGGGAGCCAGGAAAAAAAGGGGAAGTAAAGGCGGCTGGCACGATGTTGACTATATCACCCCATCAAGTGTTGGTTAGTCTATAAATATATGGGTTTAGCGTCTTATGCATCCATGGTGTGAAAAGGATAATTTCCTGCAATTTTTGTAAATCTCATGTTGCTTTTCTCCTTGTGGTATAGATTGTACTTTTCATACTGAAGAATAGATGCTTGCTCTGACATCAATACTGAAGAATAGATGCTTGCTCTGACATCAATACTGAAGAATAGATGCTTGCTCTGACATCAATACTGAAGAATAGATGCTTGCTCTGACATCAATACTGAAGAATAGATGCTTGCTCTGACATCAAGCAATTTTTGACAGTGTGATTATTTAAAAATATGATACGCTTCTTCATTAATTCCTAGATAAATTAGTCTTGTATTTGCACAATTTCAGTTATGTTGTACTGCGAATAAGGGCAGACAATCCTGGCTTGTGGATCATTCATTGCCACGTAGAGTTACATATGATGGACGGGATGGCTCTGCTGCTCAATGAATCCTTCAGCAATCAACCACCACCTCCTACAGGTTTCCCAAGATGTGGTAGTTTCAATTTTGATAAGCATCAAGAAACACATAAGCACGAGGGAGAAAATAGTAAGTTCATGTTTTCAGTAATTTTGAGATTAACTTCACTAGGATTTTCCCCACATACACATGTAACTCCTTTAGAGCAAGTTGAACAGGTGAGAGCAAACTAAACAGACGATAGCAAACTGAACAGACAATAGCGAACTGAACAGATGAGAGCTAATTGAAAAGATGAGTGCACACTGAACAGATGAGAGCAAACTGAACAGATGCGTGCACACTGAACAGACGATAGCAAACTGAACAGATGGGAGCAAACTGAACAGATGAGTGCACACTGAACAGATGATAGCAAACTGAACAGACGAGAGCAAACTGAACAGATGAGAGCAAACTGAACAGATGAGTGCAAACTGAACAGATGAGTGCACACTGAACAGATGAGAGCAAACTGAACAGATGACATAAAACTGAACAGATGAGTGCACACTGAACAGATGAGAACAAACTGAACAGATGACAGTAAACTGAACAGATGAGTGCACACTGAACAGATGATAGCAAACTAAACAGATGATAGCAAACTGAACAGATGACAGCAAAACTGAACAGATGAGTGCACACTGAACAGATGATAGCAAACTAAACAGATGATAGCAAACTGAACAGATGACAGCAAACTGAACAGATGAGAGCAAACTGAACAGATGAGAGCAAACTGAACAGATGATAGCAAACTGAACAGATGAGAACAAACTGAACAGATGAGTGCAAATTGAACAGATGAGTGCACACTGAACAGATGAGAGCAAATTGACCAGATGAGAGCAAACTGAACAGATGACAGCAAACTGAACAGATGACAGCAAACTGAACAGATGAGAGCAAACTGAACAGATGACAGCAAACTGAACAGATGATAGCAAACTGAAAAGATGAGAGCAAACTGAACAGATGAGAGCAAACTGAACAGATGAGTGCACACTGAACAGACGAGAGCAAACTGAACAGATGAGTGCACACTGAACAGATGAGAGCAAACTGAACAGATGACAGCAAACTGAACAGATGACAGCAAACTGAACAGATGATAGCAAACTAAACAGATGATAGCAAACTGAACAGATGACAGCAAAACTGAACAGATGAGTGCACACTGAACAGATGATAGCAAACTAAACAGATGATAGCAAACTGAACAGATGACAGCAAACTGAACAGATGAGAGCAAACTGAACAGATGAGAGCAAACTGAACAGATGATAGCAAACTGAACAGATGAGAACAAACTGAACAGATGAGTGCAAATTGAACAGATGAGTGCACACTGAACAGATGAGAGCAAATTGAACAGATGAGAGCAAACTGAACAGATGACAGCAAACTGAACAGATGACAGCAAACTGAACAGATGAGAGCAAACTGAACAGATGACAGCAAACTGAACAGATGATAGCAAACTGAAAAGATGAGAGCAAACTGAACAGATGAGAGCAAACTGAACAGATGAGTGCACACTGAACAGACGAGAGCAAACTGAACAGATGAGTGCACACTGAACAGATGAGAGCAAACTGAACAGATGACAGCAAACTGAACAGATGACAGCAAACTGAACAGATGACAGCAAACTGAACAGATGAGAGCAAACTGAACAGATGAGAGCAAACTGAACAGATGAGAGCAAACTGAACAGATGAGAGCAAACTGAACAGATGAGAGCAAACTGAACAGATGACAGCAAACTGAACAGATGAGAGCAAACTGAACAGATGAGAGCAAACTGAACAGATGAGAGCAAACTGAACAGATGAGAGCAAACTGAACAGATGAGAGCAAACTGAACAGATGACAGCAAACTGAACAGATGAGAGCAAACTGAACAGATGACAGCAAACTGAACAGATGACAGCAAACTGAACAGATGACAGCAAACTGAACAGATGACAGCAAACTGAACAGATGACAGCAAACTGAACAGATGACAGCAAACTGAACAGATGACAGCAAACTGAACAGATGACAGCAAACTGAACAGATGACAGCAAACTGAACAGATGACAGCAAACTGAACAGATGAGAGCAAACTGAACAGATGAGAGCAAACTGAACAGATGAGAACAAACTGAACAGATGAGAGCAAACTGAACAGATGAGAGCAAACTGAACAGATGAGAGCAAACTGAACAGATGACAGCAAACTGAACAGATGAGAGCAAACTGAACAGATGAGAGCAAACTGAACAGATGAGTGCAAACTGAACAATTGAGGGCAAACTGAACAGATGAGAGCAAACTGGACAGATGAGAGCAAACTGAACAGATGTTCATATTTAATAAGGGCAGACAGACCTCTGAAAACTCCAAATGAGGGGTTGTTTTTTTAGTTCAAAAGGCATGTTTGTCAGTGGTAGTTAGTGTTTTGCTTTTTTTTGTATCTTTTCGCTGTCATGCACGTGTATTGGGAAAAGAGCAGGTAGACACACTAGCTGATTCTGGGCTGGATGGTTAACCAACACATAAGAAGCTAGATTTGTTTAAACCCCTTGAGGAGCAAGTAGAAATACATCACTCTGGTCTAGAGACAATGTTGCAGCAGGGAATGAGCTGGGCATCTGGTAAACAGTTAACAGTAAAGAGGAAAGGCAAGACTGCCATACACAGTCTGATAATTAAATAAAGAAATCGACTGTGGTCAAAACAAAAATGGTATCCATGAAGCAAAGCATGTCTTCCAGACAGGTACCATTCATCAACGACATGGCAAAATTTTAACGCCGCCCAGTCAGCGATGACATGTGACCCGCCATTTTGTTTAGCTTCAGAAAGTTGGGTCATTATGTGTGCAGCATGGAGCTAAGTGTTAAGATTAATTCTGTTTCAGATTAGAAAAAGTGCTTTTGAGACGTGTGAATTGATGAGATGTCTGTAAGGATCAATGGTTATCAAATTCAACATCATATTCATCTGCCATTATCCTCACAGTCAGACATCAGTCTTTGTGTATCATTTCTCTAACTTTGGCAATCAGTTTGTTATTACAAACTGAAACTGGACATCCTGGGCCAGCATCTCCAATCATTTCCACACCAGTTTTAAATCAGGAATAACATCTCATTCATGAGATAAAGATAGGGTGACATAGTCCCCTTTTCAGGTGTATCCCAGTCGTCCCGTTAGTACTAAAAAAAAAAAAAACTTCAACAATAACAAAAAATTGTCTTGTTTTACAAAAATCTAGCAATTAGCTTGAGAATTTAACGTATACTATTACAAGACACTTTTAATGCCTGAGGTGTGTTGATGGGAAGTTTCACAGTAGCATGTTTTTTACTTTTTTTTTCCTCCTTAGTACAGTTAAACAGAATATTGTTCATTTATTTCTTGAGGACAATGCTTCTGGTTTTAATACCATTGTCGAGCCAGTGTGGTAGTAGTTTCAGCTTGGTGATCTAGAAAAAAATTGGAGCGGGGTTAAACTGATTTTTCAGGGTGTCCCTTTTTCAGCTCAAAATATTAGTGCAATGTTCCTTGTTCAGCTCAAATTATTTGGATGTGCCTTTTCAGCTTTAAATATTATGGTCACCCTAAAGACTGATTCTCATAAACTTATCAATTCAACTGACTCAAAAGTACTTTCCAAGTCTGAAATACAAGATGGCAGGTTATATGTGGTCTTCTGACAGGGCATTGTTACAATTTTGCCAAACTATAGGTGAATGGTGCCTGTTTGGATAACAAACATGCCTTGCTTCGTGGATGGCATTTTTGTTTTCACCATAAAACCAGTCTCATTATTTAACTGTCAGACTGTGTATAATCAGACAATTACTGCCATCAGTGCAATTGAAATTCTGTGTTCGCTGTTGAAAATAAGGATGGGGAGCTTACAGGATGTCCCAAGTGCTACAATGTCGCTTTTTAACTGAACACAGATGTATAGGCTTTCCTGTAATAATATCAACTTTTTCAATTACTGGAAACTCACAATATCATTACCAGTTACTCTTTACGCTGTACCTATTTCTCTACTCTTTCTGTTTTATTCTTTAGTTACTTCATTCTCAATTATTAATGTAACTCCATGTTTCCCTAGGTGTTTTTTTAAATTTTATTTTAAAAAACTGGAAAACTGTTGCTCTAAGGTAAACCTACTGTAAGGTAGACAATGGTGAAGTTATAATTACTAACACAGTTAACCCTTTCCTTGAGAAGCTGCAAGAAAAAAACACTTCTGGTTGGGTGAAATTCCTCATAATTTCACTTTACTGACTTGTCTACAGTGACCTAATAATGAGATGCACAGTTAATGTTATTGGATGTTTTCACTCCAGCTCAAACGTTTAGGAGGTCACACTTAGGTTTATTAAAAATGGTGCTAGGGAAGGGTGGAATATCCTTCCAGCCAAATAACTATGTTTTAAAGCCAAGTTGATGTCAAATCTTTCCATAAACCTTTTTTTTTTTTTTTGTCCAGGTCGGTCTCCCCACATGACCAGCCTGGCCGCCCGACTACCCGAAGGATATTACGTCGGTAATCCAGGCTGAACGGGGAAACCGCCCGGCAGATTTTTTAAGAAGGCATTGCCGATTGGGTTTCTCCCGTGATTGTGGTTATGACCGATCCCGGGCTCTTTTGGCCAGACCAGTGCAGCAAAGCTACACTTTGATCTTAGCCAAAAGGCCGAGAAGCGATCATAAACCTCAGCGGTAGAGGTCACGGCGTTCGTCATTTGATTAATAGGATTTTTTTAGGCCCTGGGGAATGTATACCATTTAATGTTTCAACCTGTTCATCTTTAATTATTACTTCCTTCATATATTTTTATATATTTTGAGAACTTTGTGTGACTTATAAGCAATTTTTGTTTTTTTAAATCATAAAAAACAAATTCCAGTGAGGTCACAGGCCAGTTTTTAAGTGTTCTGACAGTGAGAGGGTTAAATGGGATCAGAAGAGGTATATGTGGGAAGTAAGCGATTGTTTCCCTTGTTATGAGGCATGTGAGGGTTATCTACACATTTTTTTTTTTAGAATAATGGGCAGGATAAATGATGGGGAAATC